AGGAACTACTGCAACTCCTTCACGTTCTCCGGTACTTTCCATTTCTTGACGGCTTCAATCTTCCGCGGGTCCACGTGTATGCCCTCGGCACTCACCATGTGCCCGAGAAACTGCACCTTCTTCAGGGCGAAGTCGCTCTTCGACAGCTTCACGTAGAACTTGTTTTTCCGCAGGATCTCAAACACCTTCCGTAGATGCTCCATGTGCTCCTTCATGTTCTTGGAGTAGATCAAAATGTCGTCCAGGTACACCACCACGCACTCATCCAACAGGGGGCGTAGGATGTGATTCATCTCCGCTTGAAACGTTGCTGGTGTGTTGCAGAGTCCGAACGGCATCACCAAGTATTCGTAGGAGCCGTATCTGGTACGGAACGCCGTCTTGTGGATCGAGTTGTCTGCCATCTTGGTCTGCCAGTAACCCGACCGTAGGTCCAGCTTCGAAAAGACTGTTGCACCGCGCAGTTGGTCCAATAGGTCGTCTATGCGCGGTATGGGGTATTTGTTTTTAACTGTCTGTTTGTTCAGTGCGCGGTAGTCGATGCACATCCGTAGACTGCCGTCTGGTTTTGGAGTAAAGAGAACTGGTGCACCGTAGGGAGAGGTGGATGGGCGGATCAGTTGTCTGTCCAGTAGATATTCGATCTGTTTCTTCATGTCTGTCAGTTCGGTCGGACTCTGTCGGTATGGTGTACGTGTGACGGGTTTCGCACCTGGTTCCTCCACGATCTCGTGCTCGTGGGTGCGTGCAGGGAGTACGCCTGCAGGTAGGTCGTCAGGCATTATATCCTTATACTGGTCCAAGACCTCCTTCACTGCTGCAGGTAGTTCTGCGTTCGGCTTCTCCTCCTCTGCTGCTGCCATAACCAGTGCTAGGTATCCCGTGTTATTCTCGTGCACCATCTGTTCAAATCGTGCCAGTGTCGTTTTAGGAACGCTCCCTGTATCCGTCCAGCTTCGCAGCTCCACTCGTTTCCCGTTGTTGTATATGCACGCCTTCCTGTTGACCCAGTCGATCTCGGGGTTGAACCGCCCCAAGATGAAATTTGATCCCTTGATGTTCGTGATCGGCAATGTCGACTTCCACCTTAGCGCCCCTATGTGAAGCTGCACTGATGCTTTGCCGTGGATGGGAAGTTTCGTACCATCCACCACCTGAAGGAGCAGGACCTGGCGTGGGGAGGGGGTCTACCTGGATAGGACCTGGCGCAAGAAAGAGCGGTGGGGGGGGGCGAGGGGCAGTGCGGTAGGGAAAGAGACGGTAAAAGGGGACGGACTCGTCAAAGGTGACGTCCTGAGACGGAAAGACACGGCGCGAGGCGGGGTCGTAAAACTGCCAGCCAGGCGCGTCAAGGACAAAGCCAAGGAAGACGCAGGGAATGGCGCGAGCGGAGAGCTTGTCCGATGTGGTATCGCGGACAAAGGCACGAGCACCCCAGACCCGGAAACGCGACGCATCGCCAACTTTCCCCGTCCACAGCAGTGTGGGCGAGGTCTCCGGCAAGGAGACACGGGGCCAGAGGTTGAGCTGATGCGCGGCGTACCGGACCGCAAACGACCACAAAAAATGGGGGGCAGCCGCATGGATCATGGAGGTACGAGCGACCTCCATGACTAAGCCAATGCGGCGCTCAGCAACCCCATTCTGCTGCGGAGAGGCCGGAAGCGTGAACGTCTGGCGGATGCCGTGCTCCGCACAGAAGGCTGCCAAGAGGTCTGAGGAGAACTCACCACTCCTGTCAGAGTGCAGACGCAGGACTTGAAAGTCCGACTGGAACCGCTCACGGAGCTGGAGACGAACAGCGCGGATCCAGGGGATCAAAACATCAGGGACCTCCCCCTTGCGCTGCAAGGGGAAGACCGTGGTGTAACGCGTGTAGTCGTCGACGACCAGCAGGAAGTACCGCTCGTGGCCATGTCCACGGACGCGGGCTGGGCCCCACACGTCTAGGTGGAGAGTCTGCAGTGGAGCCTCTGTGGGAGGGAACGAGGAGTGAGGAGCGGCGCGCTGCCGCCCCTCGACGCAAGGAATGCAGGGCGGCACAGGCGAGGGAGGGAGGGCAGGCAGAGACTTGGGAAGGCCAGAGACCAGGAAGCGAGAGTGCATGCTACGAAGGCGAGGCAGAGAGGGTTGACCAAGGCGGTGGTGCCACAGGAGAGTGTCGTGCGATAGCCAGCGACACTCACGCTGGGTAGCTACCTGAGCAGACGCGTACAGCTGGGGAGACTAAGGGGTGGAGCACGACGCAGTGGTGAGAGTGTACAGACTAGACCCAGGCGCACGTGTGAACGTGGCCGAGTGACGGCTGGTCCGGAAGCACGTGCAGATCGCCACACGTTGTCCTCCAAGAGTAAAGGTGTCAACTCAGTGATCCTGCGTTGCTCACCAAGTTTGTAGAGAACGAGGGGAGGTGGAGACCAGACAGCTCATCAGACGGGACCGCCGGACACGGAAGCACAGTGGAAGACCGTGCAAGCATTGGGCACCCAGAAGGGTCAGCCAGTGAGACAGGAACAGGTGCAGGGAGGGGAGTGACTGTGGTGCTGTCGCGAAAGAAACAGCGGGAAGCACCAAAAGTCAAGTGTGAAGGTGTGCAAGGCCTATGCGGACGCAGTACCAGGAGGAGCAGACTCACAAGCACCTAGTGCCACAGGCGCTATACCTGTGGCTATACCGGGGTCAGGCGGCACACACGAGCACTAACAGTCAATACATACATGGCAACAAGAATAGCCTCATAGTCAAGATCAAAGATAGGTACATCACGCCTAAGCAGGTCTGCCCAGTTGGGGAACTCAGTAGCATCAGGAGACTTGATGCGCCAGGCGTCGCTAAGCCGAGCGAAGCAGCGGTACTCAGTGTGAAACCCTGTGCACTGGCGACCAGCGCGGGGACTTGTGCGAATGATATAGGGGCAGCGACCAGGACCCCCAGACGCCCCACGCCCGGCATACCAGACAAGAAGCGGCTGGGAAGTGGGGGTCTGGCGCTGACGCTGCTGCTGCTGCTGCTGCCCCTGGCCACCACTGGTGTCACCCAAGCCCCCACCACCGCCGCCACCACCACTCCCCCCTCCACCACCACCGCCGCTGCCACCGCCACTGCTCTCGGCACCACCACCGCCCCCACCACTACTTCCACCCCCACGACCACCGCCACTACCTCCACCGCCCCCGCCGCCTCCACCACCGCCCCCTCCACCGCCACGTGCGCCACCCCTGCCAGCCTTGCCCGCCCTGAAGCCGCTGCGCTTCCCACTCGGAGCGGAAGCAGCTGCGACCTTCTCAGCACCAAGGAGGTCGAGAGCAGCAGCTGCGGAGGCGTAGGAGGGGGTAAGAGGGGAGGGGGAGCACCCCTCAAAGAGGGGAGTGCGGGGAGTACCACGAGCAGCACCTACATCTAGAATGTTCTTCTCGGCTGCTTGGAGGTGCTTCTCGATTTCGTCGACAGCGAGAGAACGGGGGTCAAGGGCGAGGAAGTGGTCCCTGACAAAGCGAAGAGTGTCAGGGAGGCGGGTGATGAGGAAGTAGAGAGTAAAGTACATCGGGGGGTGGTTCTCTGCGAGGAACTCGGCTGGAAGGGCGGCACGAAGGCGAGTGTCACTAGCGCGTAGGTGAGAGATGAGGTCCTCAGCGGTGGTAAACAAGGACAGGTCGGGGAACACGTAGGGTAGCATAAGTCGACCGAGGTGTGCAGTGGCCGGGGAAGAGTAGCGGGCAACTACAGCGTCGTACAGGGCCTTGGCAGTCTTGTGCTAGCTAAAATGTGCGCGCAGTATGATCGGCAGATAGTTGCGAATAGCTAGGCGCACAACAGCATCGCGGGTCTGCCACTGGGAGCGGTCTAGAGCATGCTCAGTGTCAGCAGAAGCAACGGCAGTGCCAGACACGTAATCGAACAGGGAAACACCGTCCTTGGCATCAGCCAGGAGGAACAGTTGCAGGTCTTAAGCGGCGCGCAGGCCGGCAACAGGCTGCGCGGGCAGCTGACACGGCGCGCGGGGCCGAAAACGGGTTGCACGGGCTGCTTAAGCGGCGTGCGCGGGGAAAAAAAAAAAAGAACCGCGCGCGTGCAGCCGAGGCGCGCACGGGCAGCAGGCAAGGCAGGCAGGCAGTCAAGGCGGTAGGTGAGGTAACGCGGTAACCGGTGGGCCCTAATCTTAGGTCCTAAAGACCTACTGCTGTGATACCATTTTAGAAACTTAGGCATGAGTGACTTGCAATGTCGAGAGATTTGGTACAAGGAAGAAACATAAGGGGTCCCCACAGTATCTACCCCACTACAGCCTACCCAAAACTATAACACATATATATATGTTTGACACAGAGCTGTGAGCTAGCCCGCAACAAACGGTCCACCCTGGCCGGCCCCTAGGTTCATAGAAATACCAGCTCCTCCCATCTCCCAAGCACATTGATTTTCGGTTCTTTCAACCACAGACCTCACCGCTCAATCCATGCCGCCAACAGCATTCTCGCATGTGCGACATGACAGTCATCATGCATATTGCACATGCAACGGCCTTCTCCACACCATCTTCCATTCAGGACATGTAAATTTTTATAAGTGTGTAACCCTTTTCAAAATTGCGTATTGTGAAAGTGTAGCGATTGCTAACGCAGCAAAGGCAGCGTACCATCGCTACTCGCCCTCTTTTGGTTACAAAAGAGGGGGTTGAGGCCATTCGGCCTCACCCACGTTCTTCTTTTCAATTTCGAAGTTTGAGTTTCCCACCCACCCACCCATGTAGTAATTATCTCTAAGATTCTTGCTGTAATCGTAGTTATCATGGGACGAGATTGATGTACCGTACTCATACCCATATGAAATGAAGCACGATGCCTTTATAAGTTGCAGAAAGCAAGCTTTCACAATCTTCCTTTTCAGGATTGTCTCGATCAGGTCCGGTCATCAATCCAAAGCCTTCTGTTTGGGCGTCCGTGGGGGATTCCGCTCCCAGGGATTCCATTTATAGTCCTCTTCAGTTTGGGGTATTCTCGTCAATACCCCGAACGCGGCTGGTTACGCATTTGCCCGGATCCGCCCTTCCCCGAACCAGGGGACATTGGGGCCGACGAGCCGTACGGGGCGGCCGGCACTGGTGGGCGTATTCCGTACGAGGTGGTCATGCCGCCGGCCATGCCTCCGCCCATTCCGCCGCCCATCCCGCCGCCCATCCCACCGCCCATTGCCCCAGGCAATCCCATCCCGCCTCCTGCTGCTCCTCCTGCTCCAGCTGTAGCATTGGGATTGGGGGGTGTCATTGGGCTGCTGTAGCTTGAAAACTGCTGGTGGGGAGGGGGGACAGGGGAAGGGGGGAGGGTGTTTGGTAATGAGAGAAGGAACGAGAAGGGGATATCAAGTATCAAGGCATTTTAGACATGCATTCAGCACAATATACATTATCTGGTTGAGCTGAGACCCATAATCCATGTACCTTCCACTAACCCCCTGGTAGGGCATCCCATGCCCGAATAGGTGCAGGCTGCTGTGACGAACAGTACTTGCCGACTGAATGACTAAACCACTGAGCTAAACACGTTACCTGGTTCAGCTGCGACCCATAGTCCATGTACCCTCCGCTAACCCCCTGGTAGGGCATCCCAGAATAGCCGCTTCCTGTAAAAGGCAAGAGATGGTGGGGTGGGGAGGGGATGGAGTGTAAGAGGATAAAGGGAGGGAGGGATGGAAAAGTGGAGATCAGTTCAGTACAGCCTACAGGCATCAGTAGTAAGAGCCTTTGAGGCCAAAGGTAGAAAGTGCGATTTCTTTTTGGGTTTTGGAGAATTTTACTGGCGGCGCGGCACAGGAGTTGGAAGCAGAAACCCTCCGGGTGCCCAGGTTCGGCCTCAGCCCTCCAGGTTCGGCCTCAGCCTTCTAGTTGGAGGCCAAACCCCTCCAACATCACTGCTTTGCCGATTTTGAGATGTCTCAGAAGCCAGCAGCTTCCTTCAAGCACTTCTCCTGGCATTTACCATTCACCCGGGCCTAGATTTGAGAATTCCCAAAAGTGACTCAAATATGCCACCGCCCATGCAGTGCCGTGCCGTTCCATCTCAACACCCCTGCCTAATATTCCGGTTTTGAAAACGTTAGAAAACTCAGTGGTCAAACAGAGTCGGGTTCTGCATTGTTCGAGTCTTCTGCATGCAACACCCCTACTAGTAAGTTATTAACGACCAGCAGAAGTAAAATTCTACTCCACATACACCAGATATGCTTATAACAAGTACGGGTCTTGAGAGTCTTTAGACTGTCAGTCCCAGTTTTTTTACCTCGAACGTAGCAGGAGGGGATGAAGTTGAACGTTCCAAAACTACAGACTTGCCGGGGGCATAACTTGAGTGTACTGCGAACCCTCTAAATTAAGAGGAGTGCGAGAACAAGGAAAGCTAAAAACTAGAAGAGACACATAAGGAGCACTCAAGGACTCAGAAGGAGTGCGAGCACTAACAAGAGAAAGGCTTATGCCAACAAGAGACACTAACCGTAGCGACACCCTGAGACCACGAGGAAGGTTGATGGATGTTAATATTTGATGCCAAATTAATTCAAACAATGATCCTCACTCACCTGCCTGCCTGCCTTCTGCCTTTTCAGGGTAAAAACGAACCCACTCGGGGATAGAGAGAGGGAGCGACATAGAGAGAGGGACACGGAAAGGCCCCACCCCATCCAAGTAGTGAATCAAGATCACCTGTCTGCTGCACCCTCCTTGAACTCAATCTCAAGTTTCCAAAACAGAGCGACCACTAGAGCGCAGAGAGCGAACGCAGGAACATTGTGCCAGAGTCAGGAGAAGCGCCACATACTCTGGAACGGTGCGCCAGCTAGCATGTTTGGGTGGTGGCGGCGGCATTAAGCTAACGATGAATCAACAAGGGCAACTAAGGGGTAGAGCGACTAGAAAGGCCGAGCAAATCCTCTCTCACCTGCCCGTCTGCTGCAGCTTGCACACTTCTGAACTGAATTTTCAATCAAGAAGGAGAACTAGAGGGTAGAGCGACTAGAAAGGCCGAAAGAGACAAAAAAAGGATTAAAAAAAAAGGATTAAAAAAAAAAAATCATATCATTCCAAAGGCAGGAGAAAAGGTTTGCCGGAGACCCTGGAGGGAAGTGCCACGTGCAGCGCAGCACTGCAATCCCTCTCCACTTATCACACACACTAGCAGAGGCAATGGCGATCTGAGCCTTGAGGCGCTCCACATCCCGAGTAGAGGCAATGAAATTCTTCTCCATGGCTCCACCAGGTATAACCGTGCTGCACTCCCTTTTACCGCACTGCAATCCCTCTCCACTCATGCTTACTACCTTGGCTCATCATGGGCGGCAGGTTGGCGATTTGCGCCTTGAGAGACGCTCCACGTCCCGCGCGGAAGCAATGAGATTCTTCTCCATGGCGCCCCGCTGCTCCACCAGACGTAACCTTGCTGCACTCCCTCTTACCGCACTGCAATCCTTCTCTCCACTCCACACTCATGCTTACTACCTTGGCTCATCATGGGCGGCAGGTTGGCGATTTGGGCTTTAAGGCGCTCCACATCCCGAGCAGACGCAATGAGATTCTTCTCCATGGCTCTGACCACACTGCACTCCCTCTCACCACACTGCAACCCCTCCTCCTCTCTCACCCACTACCTTGGCTCATCATAGGCGGCAGGTTGGCGATCTGAGCCTTGAGATGCCGAGCAGAGGAGATGGGGCGCTTCACTCCCTCTTACCGCACTGCCATCATGGGCGGCAGGTTGGCGATCTGAGCCTTGAGGCGCTCCACGTCCCGAGCAGATGCAATCAGGTTCTTCTTAACGACTCGACCAGGTCTCGCTGCACTGCTTCTCCCCTGTTACCGCGCTGCAATCCCTGTCACTACCTTGGCTCATCATGGGTGGCAGGTTGGCGATTTGCGCCTTGAGACGCTCCACGTCCCGAGCAGAAGCAATGAGATTCTTCTCCATGGCGCCCCGCTGCTCCACGAGATCCATGTTGGCCTTCTTCTCGTACTCCACCGCTTGCCTATGATCGGACAGAAACAAGGTGTTGGTGCGGAATGGGATGGGATGGAATGGGGCATACACGAACCAATGCTGCCTAGGCTACAGCCACCCCACCCCTTTCCCCGCTGCTCCACGAGATCAATGTTCGCCTTCTTCTCATGCTCCACCGCTTGCCTGCTCCCGATACGAACAAGATGGTACCAGATGGGATGGTCATGGCATGGTGGAAGGGGGTCAAATGGGGCACACTAACACTGCCTAGCCTAGCCTACAGCCACCCCTCTCCCCGCTGCTCCACCAGATCCATGTTGGCCTTCTTCTCACACTCCACCGCTTGCCTACGGAATGAGATGGTACGCGATGACATGATAGCAGTCAGTGTGGGATGGGATGGACACACGAACCTGTGCTGCCTTGCCTACAGTCTACCAACCATCAGCCCGCTTCTCCACCAGATCCATGTTGGCCTTCTTCTCACACTCCACCGCTTGCCTATGAGTGAGAAGAACAAGATGATATGGTGCAGTGCGGTATCGCATGGTATGCGATGGGTCAAACGGACCAATGATGCCTAAGCCTACCACCAACCGTCAACCCGCCGCTCCACCAGATCCATGCTGGCTCTCCTCGCGCTCCACCCTCGCCTACATACGGATGAGTTCAATGCGGTATGAGATGGTATGAGTCGGTCATGGCAGTCAGTGTCAAGGACGTGGGCACACCACCAACTATCAGCCCGCTGCTCCACCGGTGACTAGTCCTTATAGAATTCTAAGAATCAGCCCACTGCTCTCCTGCCCTGCTTCCCTGCTGCCCGCTGCTTCATCAGCGCTCCGTTCTTTTTAAATCATAGAAATCCGCCTGCTGCCCTGCTGCCCGGCTGCCCACTGCTCCACCGGGGACCTCATCTGTTAAAATTCTAGGAATCGGCTCACTGCCCTGCTTCCCGCCCGCTGCCCCACTGCCCCAGCCCTGCTACCTGCTGCCAGCTGCTGATTGAAAAAGCTATCAATCAAATTCCTCTTAGGGGAGTGCGTGCTCCGTGGAGGACCAACCAAGTGTTAGGCACGTTCACATCATTCTTGAGACTTCTAAAAAAGTGACTCACAGTTGCCTGCTCGCACCATGTGCTCTGCATGCAAGCAGGCGGGCGTACCAATGAAGCACACAATGCATTTGGTATTTTTAAGCACCTAAGGAACCATATCACTATTGAGGTGCCAAAAAAAACGTCTCATTTTGGAGGCGCCTCAGAAAACGGTCTCACTTTAGAGGCGCCTAGAAAAGGTGATAAACAGTGGACATGTGATAAACGGTGGGATGCACAGTGGGATTGGATGGCTGGTGGGATGCATGCATGCATGGCAGGATGCATGCACGGTAGTGGAATGGGATGTATCCTGCATGTGGGTGGGAGCAAATGCATTCAGCTTTAGAAGTAGCAACCAGGCAGCAGTCTGAAAAGACGACTGAGAAACCGCCTGCCAACTTCCCCTGCACACCTGCAGGGCACGTCTAAAAAAAGAGATCATGCCACGTGGAATGTTTGTGTTGCACATGCCACTATACACTGGCGGGACCCGTGTGTGTGTAACGTAGCGTGGAATGTGAGGCGTTGCATTGCCGATATCATGCCAGTGGATCCCATCCCACAACTGTGCAACGCAATGCTTTACATGCCGAGTGATGTGATGAGACTAAACCGCTTTCCTTGTGCATGCAAGACGACTTTTGAGGCGCCTCAAAAGCTTTCCTTGTGCATGCAAGACGACTACAAGATCGTGGCGTGATAAATGTTGGGTTTTGAGACGTCTCGATTTATCACGGGCGAATCCCACCACTGTGCTGTGCAACGCTAAACTTCACTTCACATGCCAAGCGTTGAGACAGGACCCTTTCCTTGTGCATGCAATCCAACATACAAGGTCGCGGCGGTGGAATTGCCAACGGTTGTTACAACGGTCGAAACGGTCGGAATTGCGTTTCCTTGACTCGCTGCAAGCCCCTGCCAGCAAACCCTAATCAAACCCTAATCAAACCCTCCTTCCTGATACACGCAGTACAATTTTCGTGATACCGCCTGCATACTGCTTACAAGCGGAATGCAGAGAGAGATGTCCGCACGCACGTGCAAAGAGGTTTGCAGCTCACCTGGCGAGGGCGAGTTTTTGAAGTGGGGTTTGAGGCGCCTCAAACGCACCTCAATGCAAGTGGTATGCAGAGAGAGAGAGAGAGAGAGTTGTGTGTGCGCACATGGAAAGACGTTTGCAGCTCACGGTGCTCACCTGGCGAGGGCGAGTTGCTGGGTGCGGGCGCCCAGCTCCTGCCTGAGCTTCCACCTGCCCTATCCTATCTGCCCTATCTGTATCAACCTGCTCCATCTCTCTGCTAGGGTTTCAATGCTCACCTGGCGAGGGCGAGTTCCTGGGTAAGAGCGTCCACCTCCTGCCGCAGCTTGGGCAGCAGCTGCACGTCTGCATGCATGCGGTTCAGGTCCTGGTTCATCTGCCCTATCTGCCCTCGCATGTTTCCCTCCCTCCTTCATGCTAAGGCGCTTCAATGCTCACCTGGCGAGTGCGAGTTCTTGTGTAAGGCCGTCTATTTCCTGCCGAAGTTTGGGCAGCAGCTGCACGTCTGCATGCATGCGGTTCAGGTCCTGGTTCATCTGCCCTATCTGCGCCGCCTGCTGCTGAATCTTCGCCTGCTGCTGCTGCAGCTGCGCCGACTGCTGCTGCAGCTGCTGCTGCTGCTGCTGGTGCTGCTGATGCTGCGCCATCCGCGCAGCTTCCTCTGCCTGCCTGCGTGACGTCAGCGCCTGGATCTCGCCCCTCGTGCCCTGAAGCTCCTGCCTTGCCGCCTGCAGCTCCTGCCTCAGTGTGTCTGGGGGAGATATTTATATGGGAAAAGGAAAAGGAAAATCGGAGAAGGTTGGGTATACATGGAAGAGCGCCTGGATCTCGCCCCTCGTGCCCTGAAGCTCCTGCCTTGCCGCCTGCAGCTCCTCCTGCCTCAGTGTGTCTGGAAGGAAGGGAGGGACAAGGAAAAAGAGGGCAAAGAGAAGGGAGAGAGAAAAGGCTTGCTTCAAGCTACAAGTTTCGTGAAAGAAGGAGTGTTTTGACGTGGCTTGCTTCAAGCTTCAAGCTACAAGTTTCGTGAGACGTCTCAAAACACTCCTCCTTTCACGTGGCTTGCTTCAAGCTACCTTCTTTCACGTGGCTTGCTTCAAGCTACCTTCTTTCACGTGGCTTGCTTCAAGCTACCTTCTTTCACGTGGCTTGCTTCAAGCTACCTTCTTTCACGTGGCTTGCTTCAAGCTACCTTCTTTCACGTGGCTTGCTTCAAGCTACCTTCTTTCACGTGGCTTGCTTCAAGCTACCTTCTTTCACGTGGCTTGCTTCAAGCTACAAGTTTCCATCCATCAGCCCTCTGACAACCCTATCGCCTTGAGAAACCATAAACTAATCAAGTAATAAACGCACTCTCGTGCGTACCATACTAGCGATGCACCTTTATTATTCCTTGAGAAACATTACCAAACAAAAACTCCAACAATACACACCTGCGCCTCTCAGATCCCTTTCACGCTTTGCATTGGTATCCATCAATCAAGCCTCCACACCTCCCTCGCTCCTCCTTAATACACGCACTCGCATGCCTACACCGCATTTTGCCTCACAAACAATCCAGCACACTCCAACTCACCTGCGCCTCTCAGGTCCGCTTCAAGCTTCGCCTTGGTATCCATCAACCCTCTGATTGACCACCTGATCCTCCATTTTCCAAGCAAGAATTTCTAGCTGCTAGAACACGCAAATGAGCGGACCCACATAGCACTGCATTTACCCTGTGCAGGCACAAGCGCATCGACACACCAAGACAGCAACGCACCAGCGCCTCTCAGGACCGCTTGAAGCTTCGAATTGGTATCCATCACCCCCCTAACCACCTGGTGTGGTCCTCCTTCGTACACGCACCTGCATGCATGTACTGCATTTCGCCGTACAAACAATCAAGTAATACGCATCAAACTCTCCAACGCACCTGCGCCTCTCAGGTCCGCTTCGAGCTTCGCCTTGGTATCCATCAGGCCCCTGACCACCTGGTCCTTCTCCCCAACGGCGCCTTTCAGCCGTTGGATCTCCCCCTGCGCAGAGGCCAGCTCCTGCCTGAGCGCCACGTGGGTCGCCGCCAGCCGTTGATTCTCCATCAGCAGCTGCTGGATGTCCCCCTGCTGGGCGGCAAGTTTAACTTCTAGCTGCTGCCCTGCTACGTTCTGGGCGGCAGGGGGTTGCGGAACAGGAACATGCATTCCCTGTGGGGGAGCCGGTCCCCGAACCACCACCTGGACCGGACCCGGACCTGCGAGTCCGGGTTGGAAACCAGGTCCGGGAACGAACGGAGGTCCGGCCTGGTGGACGATAAACGGCGGCTGACCGGCCGGGCCTTGAAACTGGACGGGCATTGGAGCCTGGCCGGCTTGTCTGGCTTGATAGACGGTTCCGGGTGCGCCGGCCGGCAAGGTAGGGCCGGCGGGATGCTGGTGCTGCGGTGCGGTTTGGATTAGGCCACGCTGCTGCTGCTGTTGCTGTTGCTGCTGTATGTGGCTTGAAGGGGGTTCCTGACGGCTGCGTCGCGAGTCTCGGGTCCTGAGCGCCATCTCGCTGATTTTCGCGAAAACGGGTTACCGAGACTTCAAGAGCTGAGGAGAGATACAGACGAGCCTGTGCAAGAAGCAAGGACGAAAAGGAACGTACGGGAATCAAATGAACGATAAAAATTACGCTGCGTTAATGAAATGTCGAGAATGTAAGGAGTTATGAATGAACGAAGGTAGAAGCGTGTCTACTCGCGAGACGATGAAGCACGAAAGCGGAAGTTGCACCCGAATGGAGAAACCTAGTTCGATCTCCAAGGTTTTCAAAACTGCAGAAACTTACCCTAGTCCCTAGATTTAATCGCAGACCTCAAATGAATTCTGCTAATGACTTGAAGAGCTCCTATCGCGTCCAGATTAATTACTAGCGAACGAGCTAACCAGAAATCAAAGAACACGCAAACTTTCTCGAAAATATCACAGCTCGGCGATGCCAAGACTCAAATACGGCCGATGGAGCAGAACTAGGCCAGAATTTTAGGGCGTGCTACAAATTACTCGATAGTGAGCTTTGGGAATGCCGGCAGAAAAGGTTGAGGAGACGATACGACAATCTCGCAAGTGTAACCAACCAGGTTAAACTAAATAAAAGCTGTTCACATATTTTTCCAACCAAGAGCCTCCATGCAAATCACTTGAGTAGAGGTACAAACATCAAACCACTAGCACCTGTGGTTACAGCTCAAAATCAAAACATCACGAACAACAAGCAAGAACTAGTTCCGGCTAGCGCCGAACACACCAGCTAGTTGACTAAAAGCGTGATGGAAGGCTGGCGTCCGTCCACACACACCACATGCTAAATAGGTTCGTCGGGCGCAAGCAAGGAAAGCTTGGTTGGGAGATTTAGACATGGCATGGGATGGGAGTTTATGGGTGGAGCAGCTGAACGTGTAGAAAGGGCATTGAGGCGGCTCTAGAACCACCAGCGATAGGAGTGGTGGTGAAGTCGAAGCGTTGATAACAAACAGGATGAACGGTTGAGATGATGATGCAGCTGAACAACAGACCCGTCGCAGTTGCGGTTGATGTGAGATGGATGGGGTTTGGATGGTTTCTCTTTCTCCCCGTCGTGTTCTGGGACGTCACAAAACGGGATGAACGGTTGAGAGGATGATGCAGCTGAACAGTAATCCCGTCGCAGTTGCGGATGATGCGAGATGGATGGGGTTTGAAGGTTTCCCCACTATAATCACCCCTGTTCGCTTGGCTCCTATTGCATACGGTGCAGTGTCCGTAGCAGCTTTACCTGCACTATACCATCCCCCTCCCTTCCTTCCTCCTCTCCTCCCCTCCTACCCTCCTCTCCTCCTCCACTCAGCCCCTCCTCCTGTCCACTCCTCCCTCCTCTGCTCCCCCCCTCCACCTCCTTTTATTGCACATACGCCACTATCACAGTCACATCGTCCCGCCTCCCCCCCTCGTGGTGCACCCCTGCTGCCTTGGCTGCTATTGCATACGGCGTGGGCTCTGCTGCACTCTCCCCTGCTTTATGTGCCATCGACACGAGCTTGCGAGCAACAGACTGGGGAGGGGGGGAGGGAGACGGGTGGAGAGAGGCAGGGAGGGGGGGAAGAAGAGGTGGTGAGAGGGGAGTGGAGGGAGTGGGGGTTGCGCAGGTTGGGACGGAAGGCACACTGGCTGCTATTGCGTACGACTGGGCTCTGCTGTGGGCTCTGCTGTGGGCTCTGCTGTGGGCTCTGCTGTGGGCTCTGCTGTCCAATATGCCCCGCAATCAACCACCTCTCCCACACTCGCTCCTCTCTTCTCCTCCTCCAGCGCCGCACACAGCACCAACCACGCACAGAGCTATGCACTCAATTCCCTCTCCCACACTCTACTCTCGCCCTTTTCTCCCCTCCTCCTCACCTCGGGTCTCTTCCCCTCCCCCAGAGCTGCGCAGAGCACGCACATGATAGTGTCGAGAAATAGATTGCCGCCAAACAGCCCACCTCTGCTCGCCTTTACCCTCTGCTCCCTGTTCTGCCCTCACCTCTCACTTCTCCTTTCTCACCTCGGGTTTCTTCCCCTCTCCCAGAGCAGCGCAGAGCACGCGCACGATGGTGTCGAGAAAGATATTGTCAAACAGCCCGTTGGTGGCTAGCAGAATCGCGTCCCCTGCTTGCACGGGAATGGTGTAATCCTGAGGATGTGAATGCACGAGGGGGGTGGGGAGAGGGGGAGGAGAGACACAGGGGTGGGGAGAGGGAAAAGACGAGTCAACGCACGATGGTGTCACAGGAACAAGAGGTTGTCAAACAGCCCGTTGGTGGCGAGCAGAATGGCATCCGCCTGCTTGCACAGGAATGGTGTAATCCTGCTCAAGTGAGGGGGGGTGAGGTGAGCCATTGAAGGGGTTAGGAGAAGGAAACAGGGGTCAGCTCAACACACGATGTGACTATGGTGTCGAGAAAGAGATTGTCAAACAGCCCGTTGGTGGCGAGTAGAATGGCGTCCCCTGCTTGCACGGGGATGGTGTAATCCTGGGCAAGCAACCGCCGGGACACAGGGGTAAGGGGGAAACGGGAGCCAACGAAGAAGGGAAGGGAGAGGTGAAGGGGCGGAGAAGGGGGTGGGGGGCGGTGTCAGCACACGAGTGTGTCAAGCAGGTGTTATCTTTCTGTCGACAGAGAGAGAAGGGATTGCCAAACGACCTTACATTGCTGCACTCAGGTGCTCAGGAGCAGGATCAACAAAGTGACTCTTGAGTCGACTCAAAAGGGGCTCAGGAGCCGGGGCATACACGTGTTTGAAAGCTTACCATGGCTGAGAAAGGGGCTTGAACGCTCACCTTAGCACAGTCAGGGCCGTCCCCAGCCTCATGCCCGATTTGGAAAGGGTTTCCAAAAGAATGCTCCATGCGCTCCGAGCGGATCACCAGCTCGCCCCTCCTCAGCAGCACGAACCCACAGCTGCCTATGCTCGCCACTCGCAGGCGCTGAGGGTGGGGAAAAAGCGAAGTGGTGGGAAAAGGAATGGAGGAAACAGGGGAGGAAGTGGGAGGTGAGGGCAGGAGAGCAGTGGCATTCCTCTCTGAGCGGATCACCAGCTCGCCCCTCCTCAGCAGCACGAACCCACAGCTGCCTATGCTTGCCACTCGCAGGCGCTGCAGGAAAGGGAACGGGGTGAGAGAGGGAAAGGGTGGGTGGGGTGGAGGGGAGACAGATGGAAGAGAGAGAATCACCAGCTCGCCCCTCCTCAGCAGCACGAACCCACAGCTGCCTATGCTTGCCACTCGCAGTCGCTGATGGGGGAGAGGGAGGTGGAGTAGGGGAGAAGAGAGACGGGGGGGAATAGAAGGTGAGGGAAGGGGGCCGCATGGAAGCCCTATCCGAGAGAATCACCAGCTCGCCCCTCCTCAGCAGCACAAACTCGTAGATCCGTGAGACCTTTGGTATTTGAGGTACCACCCAAGATTCAACTCACATCCTTATCCAGCACAGCAAGGGCGATGGTGGACGAGCCGCGTAGATCAGTGCGGCTGTGGCTCTCCCTACAACCCCCTTGGGACCCATCGGGTCTAAATCAATACCCAGCCACGGCAAACGTGAAAGAAGGAGTGTTTTGAGACGTCCTATAACCCCCTTGGGACCTTTCACGTGGCATCAATACCCAGCCACGGCAAACGCCACACTACCAGCAAGTTCGATCGTGCAAGATTGATGGTGCAGGCAGGGTCCACTCACGTCTTCATCAAGAACAGCAAGGGTGATGGTGCAGGAGCCGCGTAGATCCGTGCGGCTGTGGATCTCTTCAACCACTCACCTAGTCACTTGGTTTCGGGGGTTAGTACCCAAGGCTTCCACTCACATCTTTATCCAGCACGGCGAGAGTGATGGTGCAGGATCCTCTCAGGTCAGTGCGGCTGTGGCTCTCCTCAATCACCCCCTTGGGATCCATTGGGTCTAAATCCTCCTCATCATCATAGTACCCATAGTCGTAATCATCCCCTCCCGCCCCCACTCCGCTCACCACCCCTCCTCCCGCACCCCCCACGCCCCTCCCCCTCCTGCCGCCCGCTCCGCCGCCCATGCCGTCCACACTGCCGCCCGCCGCCGCCCCCCGCCCGACGCCTGCCGAGTCGTTGTGATCCGAATCTAGCTCAGAATCGGATCTCCCTTCAAGATGGTCGGCAAAGTCATCGTCGGTTTCCTCGTCCTCGTCGCTATCTGCTCCTTCCTGCCGCGACCGAATCACGTTGACACAGTTCCACATCATCTCACGGGAATATAAGCCTGCGTTGATGCCTGGTGGAGGGACGAGGGGTGAGGGGTGCGGGGTGAAGGACGCATGGGAAGGGGAGGCAGGAAGCAGAAGTGGCATTTGGTGTTGTGCCGGTCAGACAGGCGACTGAAGGCACCTGCTGTTCCCCTCTACCAGTGCCCCTCTGTCAGTTACTGTCAAACTCATCCGCAAAGTCGTCATCGGTTTCGTCGTCCTCCTCACTGTCTGCTCCTTCCTGCCGCGACCGAATCGCATTGACACAGTTCCACATCATCTCACGCGAGTATAGGCCTGCGTTGATGCCTGGTGGATGCACGGGGTGTGACGGAAGAGGTGTGAGGGACGCATGGGGAGGGGAGGGGAGGCAGGAAGGAACCGGGAGTGGCGTTTGGTATTGTGGTGGTCAGTCAGGTGAATGAAGGCGCCCGCCTGCCATTCACTGTCGGGATTCCCTTCCAGATGGTCGGCAAAGTCGTGTACAGGCCTGCGTTAATGCCTGATGGTCGCATGGGGTGAGGGGCGCGGGGTGAAGGACGCAGGGGGAGGGGAGGCAGGAAACGGGAGTTGCCTTAGGCGTTGTGGCGTTCAGGCAGGTGACTAAAGGTATCTCCCTTCAAGATGGTCGGCAAATTCGTCATCGGTTTCATCGTCCTCGTCGCTATCTGATCCTTCCTGCCGCGACCGGATCACGTTGACGCAGTTCCACATCATTTCACGCAAGTACAGCCCTGCGTTGACGCCTGGTGGATGCATGGAAGTGGGGGAAATGTGGGGAGGAAGAGGGAGATGTGGTGGGTGGTGTGGGGAAAGGAGAGACCGAATCACGTTGACACAGTTCCGCATCATTTCACGCGAATACAGCCCTGCGTTGATGCCTGGTGGATGCATGGAAGCGGGAGCACATGGCGTTGATGCCTGGTTGCCGCATGGGATGCATGGAAAGGGGCGAAAATGGGAGGAGGGAGTTGGGATCGGTGGGATGGAAGAAGGAGCAAACGAATCGCGTGGACACAGTTCCACAACATCTCTCAGGAATACAGCCCTGCATTGATGCCTGTGAACACGTGAGGGGCGGGAAAGAGGGGAATGCCATCTGCCACACGCTCAGCCAGTTGCCTCCACACAGAAAACACACCCAGCACCCCTCACCATCCCTCACCACCTCTCACCACCCCTTCCCACCCTTAACCACCGCTCACAACCCCTCACCACTGCTCACCACTCCTCTTCGCCGCTCACCTTGGTCTGTCCACGTGCCAATGCCATCTGCCACGCCCAGCCAGTTACCCTCCACCAAGTAAGCATCGTCACCACCCCTTGACGCCTGCACACAGCAGCAAAACCGCCGCATACAGAGGAGGACTAGTGAGAGAGGGTGTGTGTAGGTGGGATGTTTCAACTTTCAAGGCCACGCCCAGCCCAGCCAGTTGCCCTCCACCAGATAAGCATCATCACCACCCCTTGATGCCTGCACACAAAGGTACCATACAGGGACGAAAATGAGTTCAACTGTTCTAAAATTCCAACAAGTATCACATGTTGCCACCCCTTTTTGAACAACCCACCCCAACCTTCAGCTACAGCCCGATTTGAAAATTCTCGAAAACTTCGGAGCGCAGCGTAACCCCAAGCAGCACCGTACCTTACCCCGGGCAGCTACGGCCCGTTTCCAAAAATTTCTAGAAACAAATACTCACTCGAGCAGGGTGGGGCACGCTGTAAACTCCAACCTTGAGCTGCAGCTGATGCAGCACCACATCCTCCTTGCGCTCAGAGGGCTGGATGGCCAGGCTGGGGAGGGAGGGGAGAGAGGGGAAGAGGAGAGGAGAATGGTGAATACCACAGAGGGCCAGCGGTGAGCTGTATGTAGCCTTCAGCTGCAGCTGATGCAGCACCACGTCCTCCTTGCGCTTCGAGGGCTGGAGGGCCAGGCTGGGGGAATGTGGGGAAAGAGATGGGTGGAGCATGGTGTGAATGGTGTACACTGTGGTGAGAGAGAGGAGAACACGTGCAGCTCTCAGCTGCAGCTGATGCAGCACCACGTCCTCCTTGCGCTCTGAGGGCTGGATGGCCAGACTGGGGGAAGAGATGGGTGGAGAACGGTGTGAATGGTGTACACTGTGGTGAGAGAGACGGGAACACGTGCAGCTCTCAGCTGCAGCTGATGCAGCACCACGTCCTCCTTGCGCTCTGAGGGCTGGATGGCCAGGCTGGGGAAAATCTCGGGGAAGAGAAAAATGAATACTTGGGAGGAAAACGCTCACGAATCTGGGATCTGGGGCGTGGAAGCAGAGAGCCTACCTCCTGCTTTCCTCCTCCTGCTGAGGCGACACTTGAGTTGACTCAAAAAAAAACGACTTTTGACTTTTGAGTCGACTCAAGAGGGGAACGCTCACGAATCCGAAATCTGAGGGGGCATGGAAGCAGAGAGCATACCTCCTGCTTTCCTCCTCATGGAGACCAGTTGTTCCTGCCGCCTCCTCTCCTGAAACTGCGCCCCCTTCCTGTGCTAGCGCCTCTGCTTGTTCCTGCTCTGCTGCTCTCGGCTCGGAATAAAACCCCCGTGCTGCGTACTCCTCCTGTGCTCCTTGCTCTTGCATTGCTTGCTCAGCCGCTCCCTGCTCTTGCGCTGCGGATTGCAGCCCTTCCAATTCTGACTGCATCACTGGAACTGGAGCAGGGATTGGGAACACCTCCTCTTCTAGAACCACGCCGTTCGGGTAAATGGGATTGGAGGCACTGGTCTCCCACCCTGTGCTGCCCCCATCCCTCTGCTCCCCCTCTTCGTATCCGTTTGAGCCCTGCTGCTGCCCCTCATACCCCTGCTGCTGCTGCTCTTGCTGGTGCTGCTCCTGCTGTTGCTGCTGCAGTAGCTCCTGCTGCTGTTGCTGCTGCTCGTCCCACCCCAACTGCACCTGTTGCTGCTGCTGCTGCTGCTGCTCCTTCTGCTGCTCCTCCCACTGTTGCTGCTCCCTCTGCTGCTGTTCCCACTGCTGCTGCTCCCTCTGCTGCTCCCTCTGCTGCTCCCTCTGCTGCTCCCTCTGCTGCTCCTCCAACTGATACTCGCGACTCCATGCAAACATCCCACCATCCTCACCATCCTCCCCTCCTTCTCCCTGTTCCTCCCACTGCTGCTGCCCCTGAAGCTGCTGCTGCTCCTGTGACTGCTCCCCCTGCTGATGCTGCTCCTGCCGCTCCTGCCATTCCTGCTGCTGCTCCTGTTGCTCCTGCTGTTCCTGCTGCATCTGCTGCTGCTGCTCCTGTCGCTCCTGCTGTTCCTGCCGCAGTAGTTGCTGCTGCTGTTGCTGCTGCTCTTTCTGAAGCTGCAGCTGCAGCTGCTGCCGCGCCTGCCTCTCCCTCTCCGCGTCCTGAATCTGCTCCCTAAGGCTCTGCGCCTGCTGCTCCAACTGCTCTAACTGCGCCTCTGCCTGCTCCCTTGAACCAAACCGAAACACCACCGTGTCCTCCTCGTGCTCTGCTTCAGGGATGGAGAAGTGGGGGGGGGGAGGAGGGACGGGAGAGGAGGCGAGGGAGGGGGAGAAGAAGAGAAAGAAAGGGCATGTCGTGAAGTGAGCGAAGAATGGAAATGGTAGGAGATGGCATCAGAGGCAGGAGGAATTAAGCTGGGGGCGAAGTTTAGGAGAGAGGACGAGGAGGGGCAGAGAGAGAGCGGGATAGACAGGGGCGGCCAGCATAACAATGGGGAAATAAAGAAGCACCCCCCTTGCAGAGAGAGGGAACATACCATGGACGTCAAGAAGCACCCACGCAGCTTCCTGCTCGCCCTCCTCTTCGTCACTGTAATCCAAGAAACCCACGCCCATCACCCCCACAGTCTGTTCACTGCCCCCCTGCTCTCCCCCAGGAACACCCTGGAACCGTTCTTGAGGCGCCTCAAAGACAACCTCCATGCCCATCACCTCCACCGCCTGCTCCATAGCCTCATGCTCGGACGCCTGTACCCTTTCCTGCTGCTGCTGCTGTTCTTGCTGCTCTTGCTGCTGCTGCTGCTGCTGCTGCTGCTGCTGCTGCTGCGAATGCTGCTGCTGCGAATGCTGCGAATGCTGCTGCTGCTGCTCGTGCTGCGGTTGCAATTGCTCTTGTTGATTCCACGCCTGTTGCTCATCTTGCCCCCAACCCCCAGCCTGTGGCTGTTGCTGCTGAGAAGAGTACTCTGCCTGATGCTGCTGCTGTTGCTGTTCTTCTTGTTGCTGCTGCTGCAGCTGCTGTTGTTGCTGCTGCTCAGATATTTGCTGTTCCTGCTGCTGCTGCTGCTGTTGTAGCAGCTGTTGCTGCTGCTGGGCCCAGTGTGCTTGCTGCTCCTGCCATTGCTGTTGCTCAAATCTTAGCTGTTCCTGCTGCACTTGCTGCTGCTCTTGATGATACTGCCCTTGCTGTCGGTAATCTGCCTGTGTTTGTTGCTCTTGCCAGTGCTGCTCCTCGGATTGATGCCCTTGCTCCCACTGTTGCTGCTGCTGCTGTTGCTGCTGCCCCTGCTCCTGCCACTGTTGCTCCTCGGATTGTTGCTCCTGCCACTGCTCTACCTGTGCTTTTTGCTCTTGGTCCAATTTCGCCTGCTCCTCCTGCTGCTGCTGCTGTTGCTCCTCCTCCCGCTGCTGCTGCTCCTCCTGCCGCCTCTGTTCATCCAGATGTTCAGCCTGTGCTTGTTCTTCTTGCCAGGCCATTGCTTGCCCTTGACCCAATTTCTCCTGCTCCTCCCGCCGTTGCTGCTCCTCCTGCTGCTCTTCGTGCCACTGCTGCTGTTCCCGCTCCTGCAGCTCGGCTTGCTGCCGCTGCTCTGCCCACTGTTCTGCCTGCGCTTGTTGCTCTCGCCATTGCATTTCCTGCTGCAATTCAAACTGTTGCTGTTCTTGCTGTTGTTGCTGCTGCCACTCCAACTCTTGCTGTTGCTGCTCCAGTTGTTGTTGTTGCTGCTCCAACTGTTGTTGTTGCTGCTGCCAGAACTGTTGCTGTTGCTCCAACTGTTGCTGTTGCTCCAACTGTTGCTGCTGCTTTAACTGCTGCTGCTGATATCCCAACGCCAAGCCCTCTCCTACAGTTTCTGCGCCAGAACCGTGAGAAACCGCTGCATCAGCTTGAGAATCAGCCTCGGCTGACTCTGCACAGAGGTGATGAGGGGTTCTATGCGGTGACTCTATCGCTTCGGCTGGTGACGTTGCTGCTTCTTCTGTCGCTGGTATTGCTTCTGCTGGTACTGCTGCTGCTGATTCTGATGCTGAAACTGCTGCTGCTGCTGCTGGTACTGATGTTGCTGCTGCTGCTGCTGCGTCTATCACTGCAGCAGCACTTGCGGAACTCGCGATTGGCTGTCCAATATACTGCGCGGCTTCTCCTGCGGGTACACGCTCTGCTGATTCCAAAGTTGCTGCTTCAACTCCATCTACTTCCGCCCCGTGATTTCCCCCATCCGCGCCGTGACTTCCCCCATCCACCCGCGCCTCCGCGCCCTCAAGGCTCCGCCCCAAATTCCCCCATTCCGCGGGTACGTCGGAGCCCGCGCGGTTTTCTTCGAGATTGCCCCATTCCGAGCGCCTTTCCGCTTCCGAACCCCCCTGCGAGAGCCCCTCGACGTTTTCCGCATCGGAAGATCCAGTGATTGGGCCCACGTAGGCCCTTGCGCGGACATGCCCGCGGACACTTGCGCGGGCATTTGCGCCAGCACTTCCGCAGTCAATCGCGCGACCGGTTGCGCGGACATGTGAACAGACACGCCCTTGCAAGCTACTTGTTGAGGTCTGGGAAAGGAAGGTTGGAGAAAGAGGAAGGGAGAAGAATGAGAGTAGAAAAGAGAGGGACGCGAAAGGCAACGCAAGGGAGAAAGAGAACGGATGCAGGGTTATTGAACAAATAAACTTAAAGCATGCAATACAGGGCAGGGTACAACTGTCACGATTACTTCTTTTACTGCAATAAAGCCGCTTACCGATTTGAGCTTTCCAGGAGCCCTCGAAGTCGTTTGTGCGAAACAGCTGCTGGAGTTTAATCTGCGAATCGGGAACTGACACGTCACGCCATCCGTCGCACCCCTGGGAATGCGACGGCGAATGAGCGAAGGGGGCTGGAGGACGAGGGAGGCGATCCCAGCTGATGGCTTCGTAACGGAATACGGAGTCACTAAAAACGAGGATGATATTTCGTAAAGCCGACACGCAACAGACTTAGGAAATGGCTTTAACGCTAATCCTGAAAAAGACTTGCCGTGTGGCGAAGGGAAAGTCGAGGGTAGCTTTATCTGCGTGGATCGGGATAAGAAACGAGACGGTGTGGAGCCGGAAACGAGAGGCGACGAGGAACTAGACGAAGCGTACATGACGGAAGATCCGGAAAGCTGAGGTTCGCTTCTAATCGCCGGTGATACGGGACACACGGAGGCAGAAAAGGATGCGGACATGGTGTTGCTCCGTGTCTTTCTTTAGCTGCTTCTTGCTGATGTTGTTGCTGTCCGCGTGATTCGTAGCTGCTGGGACGACAGAACAAGAGCTTTTATATGCAAGCCCTAAACAAGACGTAAGTGTCTACTGGGAAAGCATAGCGCTTAATTTTAGGGCTTCATTTTCTCTTTACATGAAGCCCCTGCCTAAATGGGTTCTCATAAGCGCTTAAACTGGAACGCGTCGCATCGGTGACAATGATGTTGCAAAGCTCTTCGCCAATCCCGCTAAGCCAATCATGATAAGCGGTAACTACGGAGGGACAATCAGAGAGAGAGATGTGGAATACGAACACAAACCAGATCGTAAGCGGAGAAAGAAATCAAGCACTGCAAGAGAACCAGCATTCTAGAAATCAGGTCCGCAGAGAAGTGTCAGGAAGTGACCACCATAACCAAACCACTTCGACCGCCATGGATGAGGCATGAATGGGTCCAGACTCTAGGATGCAGCATGTATGGGTCCAGGTTAGGGAGTGCCATAACCTCGTGAACAGTTCATGAATCAGAGCTCAGAAAGGTGAGTAATGGTTCGAAACGGTGAAAGAGACAATGACCGCTGTAAATCGCACAGCAGCGTTACTGTATCGAATTTCACCGAGCGTTACTTGTGACATTCCCTGAGGTTCGTTCGGGTCGGGGTTCGGCGGAGAAATGGGCAGTCAATGGACGGCTGATGGCGGAAACTGGTTGTGGTGTTCAACGCAGGAGCGCGGCGGGCGGGGGAATGGGCGAGAAAGTCTCCGCTGCACCGCCGACCATGCCCGTAATCTGTAGGCGCGGAAAAGTAGCGGCGGGAGGGGAGTTCGGGGAATGGGGGGAAGGGGGGGCTAGGCTGGGGGAAGAATCTTCGCGGATGTATTTGAATCACGGCGCGGGAGAGTCTGTGGTTCCCTGGCATGCGAAATGTCAAGGCCAATCAGGATGGAGGAATTTGCTGGCCTTGAAAACAACGAGGTTGCAGCCGAATTTTCAAGGTTGGGTGCGATTAGCGAAAACGTGACTTCCAGTGACCAGCTTCACAGTTCTTGTTCAGAATATAAACTTAGTCTCTTATACAACTGACAGTTGTATGTTATCAGCTAAAACAAATGAAGCTTTGGCTTCCGCAAGCAATAATGTACAACATGCACGCCAAACCTCAACCGACGAGTTAGATTAAAAAAAACACACAAAGCTAACGAAAATGGAAATTAGGAAAGCGCCTAGTTGGGTTGAACTTAGACAAAGGAGGCTGCTGCAAATTCATTTGCTAGCACTGCAACAACCAAAGGAGGCAAACACAATCCACACATGTGCAAAACATTCATCAGGGAGAAACGTAGGACAAGGTTGATGTGACTAACAAGAGTCACATGCAGAAGAATTTCCAAACGAAACAAGCATGCAAAACGCGTGCGAAAGGGTGTGCTACTCACACAGCACAGCATGTGATACGACAAACCAAAATCACATCGGCTCAAACACATCAAATAAAATCCTTACCAGGATCCACAGCCTCCTTGGGCCGCCCGCTGATGTCCACCTTGCAGAGCGGACAGCTGGCGTTGATCCGCAGCCACGTGTCGACACAGGATTGGTGAAAGTGGTGGTTGCAGGGAAGCTGCCTCAGCTCCGCCCCATCCTTGTAGTGCCCCAAGCAGATGCAGCACACCTGGTAACCATGTAATAGGCGTAAGGAAGTGGGAGGAGGGGCGGGGGGGGAGGGGAGAGGGGGGGGTGGGGACGTGGGAGAGTGGGGCAGGGGGGAGGGAGAGGGGGGTGAGGGGATGACCAACTTGCCTCAAAACGTCCCTCCTGTGCACCATTTTCTCCTTCTCCCTTCCCGCCCACTGCAGCCCCCCACCCCAGCTCGAGAACAACTAAAACTACCACGGTCAGACCACTCCCAACAAGACAGATCAGAAGCAGAGGCATAGCAGAAACAGGGGAAGGGAGGAGGGAGGAGGAAGGTGGTGGGGGGGTGGGAAACGGGGGTGCGGGTGGGAAGAGGAAGGCGGGTTGGGAAATGAGTTGACTCACCGCATCCTCCCCTTGCACTACCCGCTCCTTGTCCATACCCGCCCACAGCAGCCCAACCTCACCTCATGAGAACAACAACTACCAGTCTGGGGGGCAAACGGGGGGAGAGGAGCAACTCACCGCATCCTCCCCTTGCACTACCCGCTCCTTGTCCATACCCGCCCACAGCAGCCCAACCTCACCTCATGAGAACAACAATTACCAGTCTGGGGGGCAAACGGGGGGAGAGGAGCAACTCACCGCATCCTCCCCTTGCACTATCCGCTCCTTGTCCGTACCCGCCCACAGCAGCCCCACCTCCTCCGACGAGGAGTCACTATCCGACTCCTCCCCCCCACCCACACCACTGCTGCAAATGACCTCACTGCTCCCGCTCCTGCTCCTGCTGCTGCTGCTGCTGCTGGCACTGCTGTAGGCTCTAGCACTCAGCGTGCTCTCCTCTTCTTGACTTCCCACTGACATCAGGCCGTGATCAGCTGTCTTTCTGGTTGCCAGTGCTTGCTGCGATCGCCTCCGGTTCCTCCTCAGGCTTGGGGAGCTGCTGCTGGTGCTGCTGCTGGTGCTGCTGGCACTGCTGCTGCTACTGCTGCTTGTGGTTGTACCACTGCTACTCCTGCTGCTGCTGGAACTGCTGCTACTAGCAGGGCTTAGTTCAGGTGTTTTCATCCCCTCTCTACCACCATCACAACCTTCACCACCACAATCGCCACCACCATCGCCATCACATCTGCTCTCACCACTCCCCTTGCTGCTTCCCTTCCCAACCCCACCACTCCCCCCCTTCCTCCTCCGCTTCAGCTCCTTATACTTAAAGCACGGCAGCGAGGCGATCTCATCAGGAGCAGCACCCTTGGAGGCCGGGGAAATGGAGGCGATATCGTTATCGAAGCCCATGAGCGTGATGATGCAGGGCAGGCAGCAGCAGATGGTGGCGCAGAGGAGGAAGGGCATGGCGTAGCTCACACAGCTCAATGTTAAAAACACCACGCTCAGACTGGATAAGGGGGGAGGGGAAAAAGGGATGGGCGGAGGGGGACAGGAAGCGGGGCAGGGGTGGGGAATAGGGAAGCAGACGGAAAGAGGGTGAATGAATTGGGGATGGGGACCAATCTCATCAGGAGCAGCGCCTTCAGAGGCCAGGGCCTGGGGAGGGGAGATGGAGGCAATGTGGTTATCGAAGCCCATGAGCGTGATGATGCAGGGCAGGCAGCAGCAGATGGTGGCGCAGAGGAGGAAGGGCATGGCGTAGCTCACACAGCTGAGCGCCAGAAACACCACGCTCAGACTGGCGGGGGAGGGGGGGTAGGGGGGGGGGGGGAGGGGGCAGTATGGGGAATTGAGGGAGGAAAGAGTGGAGCAGCAGAGGAGGAAGGGCATGGCGTAGCTGAGGGTCAGAAACACCACGCTCAGACTGGCGGGGGAGGGGGGGTAGGGGGGGGTTGGGGGGGGGGGGAGGGGGCAGTATGGGGAATTGAGGGAGGAAAGAGTGGAGCAGCAGAGGAGGAAGGGCATGGCGTAGCTGAGGGTCAGAAACACCACGCTCAGACTGGCGGGGGAGGGCGCGGGGGAGGGGGCGGGGGAGGGGTTGTGACAATTCTGTGGCCTCCTGGAAGGCTGATGTGGAATCTGGTTTCGTTTCTCACATAAAAAGGGCCAAGGGACTTATACAGTGTCGGGGCGGCCTGGGAAGCAGAGCTGACACCAAAGACCTACAAACCAAACAGCAAAGAAGGTCATTCACGCGTCTTGTTTCTCGCTAGTAGCACGTTCGACACAGTCACTCACTTGTACAGTAATGGGGCGGCCTGGGCGGCGGAGTTGGCGCCAAATACCCAGATATTGCCGAGCACAAATCCGACAGCAGAAACACCCATTTACTCCAGCTTGTTTCTCATTAATCGCACGTTCGACAGTCACTCACTTGTACAGTAATGGGGCGGTCTGGGCGGCAGAGTTGGCGCCAAAGACCCAGATATTGCCGAGCACAAACCAGACTGCAAAGAAGCAGTCGACTGAGACCTTGTATCTCTCCACCATCACCATGAGCCTGGGGTTTAGAAGGTGAGGGGGGGAAGGGAGGTGGGAGTGACGAAGTGTATGGAACATGAAGCAGTCGACTGCGACCTTGTATCTCTCCACCATCACCACGAGCCTGGGGTTTAGGGAGGGAGAGGGAGAGAGAAGAGAGGAATGGTAGTGTGTGAGCTCCAGGGCTGACTGAACTGCAAACAAGCAGTCGACTGAGAGCTTGTATCTCTCCACCATCACCACGAGCCTGGAAAGGGGAGGGGGAGGGGAGGGGGAGGGAGATGCGGAAGGGGAAGAGGGAAGGAGGAAGCATACGGGGCTGACTGAGTGAGGAGCAGTCGACTGAGACCTTGTATCGCTCCACCATCACCACTAGCCTGGGAATTGGAAGAGAGGAAGGGGGGTGGGGGGAGGGGGGGAGGGGGAGATGAGGGAAGAAGGGATTCAGAGGGGAAGCGAGGGACGGGAGAGGGACGGAGGGAGTGTACAAGGCTGTATGAGGGAGGTTGGGTGAAAGGGAGAACGGATTGGGAGGGGGAGGGATGGGAGACGGGGAGAAAACACCTGAAAAGGCACCTGAATAAACACCTGCAAACAGAAACCCACCTGGATTCATCTCGCCAGTCATCAGCGACCTCATTCAAGAACCGCCACATGCACCCGCACCAACCCCTCCCCTCCTCCCCCCAATTCCGCTGCGCCATCTCCCCCGCTGCCACTGCCCTTTCCGCCACATAGCTCTCCCAGAACCGCGCGCCCTCGTCACTCCCCCGCGCTCCCCCCCCATTCGCCCCTACGCAGTGCGCATTTCCCCCAGCGCCCACCGCCCTCCCCCACGTGCCCTCCGCGCTTCCCGTTGGCCCCCCGCCAACTACGCTGGTCGCCAGGGCCTCTCTCTCCCCCACTATTAGCTGCCCCGTTACAAGCTGTCCCGCTGCAGCCTGCCCTGCTACAGCCTGTCTCGCTACAAACTGCCCCGCTACGGCCTCCTCTGCTGCAACGGGCGGTTGCAGCGCCTCTGCTGACGCATGCGTGGCGGGATGCGGACAAGAGCATGCGAGCTCAAGCAGCGGCGACTGAGCCGAGACACGTGGCGCTATGCTATTGGTTGATCCTTGTGGCGCGTGCGACGGGGGTGGTGGGGGGAAATCATTATGCTGCTGCTCCCGCTGCTGCTGCTGCTGCTGCTGTTGTTCTTGACGCTGCTGTTGCAGCTGCTGCTGCCGCTGTTGCTGCTCCTGATGCTGCAGCAGCTGCAAGCGCGACAGCATTTCAAAGCGCTGCCTAAACTCTTCTTCCCGTTGCCGCTGCTCCGCCGACCCACTCTGCAGCGATTGCTGACCGTACATCTGACGGATCGGAGGGTTCACGTAAGCCTCAGCGCTCTGCGAGTGATGTCGGGTGTATCTATGCGTGTATCTCCAATACAACAGTGGCAGTAACAGGACGCACCCTAACGCGTATCCCAGCACCCACGCTCGCAGTGGTACAAGCGGCTTTTCATCCATCGACGCGAAAACAATAAACGCCGTCGCGATAATCTGACCCAGGAGAAAGACAAACTCTGCCGCCACCCACAGACCCGAGTTGAGCGGGCTCGTGCGAACGCGCCGGCCGGCAAATCTGGAGCGGCCGGAAGCCTGGACATTAGGTCTTGACGGCCGGCGCGGCAGCTGCTCTCCCCAGTCACCCAGCGTTGATGCTCCCAACCCCTGCTGCTGCTGCGGCTGTTGCAGGTGATGCGGCTCCTGCAGGTGATACGGATGACGCGGGTGATACGGTAAATGCGGATACTCCTCCCTCTGCGGATAACGCTCCACCTGCTGCTGTTGTAAACCTTGAGAAATAAGTAATGCCTCATCCTCTTCCGCTCCCCTCTCCTCTCCGCCTTCCCCCGTCCAGAATCCATTCACTGCCCTTTCCAAAAAGTCTCTTCTAGCCCCCCAGCCCTCTCTGCTCCCCGCGACCCTCGCCGCTGGCGCGCGCCAGCGCTCTCCGCTCCCCGCAACCCCCCCGAGAGGAGAAGTGCGCGACGGAAGAGCGCCAAGCTCAGCTCCCCGTTCCCCTTCCGCGGACTGCGAGTCCAGCGCGAACGCAGGGGGAATGGCGGAAGAAACGGCGGAATCCGCGGAAGCGAGAAGTTGCGCAAACCCGCCCTCGCCATCCACGTCCAGGCGCACGGGTGGCGGAGAGGCGAAAGGGCGGAGAAACACGCGGAAATCCGCTTGCGCCTCCGCCTGCGCGGAAGTCTGTTGCGCTGGTCCTCTTGCGCCTCCGCCAGCCGCGGAAAGCTGCTGTGCGTCGTGAGTCCGCGGTTGATTGCGCGGCTCTTCCGCTGCGGTCAAGCCCGAAGCGCCATGCAATGAAGAGTTACATGAACAAGCCGCGTCGGCATTTGAAACAAGCTCCTGCAGAGGCGACGCTACTGTTGCCGGAGGAAGCGGCGGGAGCGGCGAGGCGACATCGGGCTCAGATGTCAATCCCAGGGTTTTCTTCAACGGCGAGTTGGCGGCGATTTGGATGAGATGGTCCGACGCGCAGCACGGCCATGGCGGCGTCGACATTGGCTGCGATTCGCCGGCGCTGGAAGAAACGGCGTCGAGCGTTTGGGATGATTCAAATTGGCCGTCGAGGTGGGAAGCTGGACGCGAGGAGCTGGACATGTCTGGTTGGTGAGGATTGCCCGCGGAGCCCATACTGCGGAACGGAGGGAATGCACCCGTGTTTCAAAAAAAAAATATACTAACTCAGCACTGGCGAGTTGTGCCGTGGGATCAAACGAACTAATGAGAGATGAGAGACAATGCTACGATATATCATACACGAATGGATTATTGCGCTACAGGACAAAAGATGGTAACAGCTGCGATTATCCAACGAGGAGGAGATAAGACCGACCGGAATTTACAACATGTGTTTTAGAAGGGACCGGCAGCCTGCCCCTAACTCACGGCTCGCGCGGTGCGTAGTGAGCGAGGAAGCAGGAGCGTAGTAGCTAAAACATCGTTTGGACTTGCATGAAGCACGACAAATTATTACATTCGCTGCATTCTATGGCGTTTATCGTTGGGCTGGAAGGGAAGAACGACCCTGGGCTTTTCTTTGCACTTCGGGTTTCTCTTGCACCTTGGAGTTACCCGTGTACATGGCAAATACCTAGGCTGTCGGGTTTCCAAACCAGACCTTGGCCTCTCCAGACCAGAGCTGGTTCGGAAGAACGAGCCTGGACTCTGCCTCAAGCACCTCTGGAGATTGCAAATTCCTAGGCTTCTCAAACCAGACATTGGAGTTACCAAACCGTCAGCTTTCCAGACCAGACCTTGGCTTCGCAATAACACCTGACCCCGGTCAGGCAATCATGTGAGTCTCCCCAGGCAATTCGACCTTTGTCTCGAGGCTGCCTAGCATGCCATGGCTGCGTCGGTGGTTGTTCATCCAGGTTCAAACCCAACGCAAAGTCGGTATTGAGAGATTTCGAACGGTCATATAAGGTGAATTAAGGTGCGGGCGCCCTTTTCATAGCTGAGCGAAGTGCTGGTTCGGCCAAAGGAGAAAAACCCAGGGTGCGCAAGAGGCTTGGCTTGGGTGTCGATGGGCGGGTTGTTGGGAGAGGAAGGTTTCGAGCGAGCTGTTATGGGTTTCAGGTGGCGACTGTTATACCGTGTGCGACAATCTAATGACGTGGACCTTGCGGCTGCTGATGGAAATAACATTTTTGGGTTGCGTAGCAACCTTATACATTCGTTTTCACTTTTAGGTTGGCTGATGTGAACAGTGATAACCCTCCAAGATTTTGGAAGAAAACACTGTTCACATAAGTTACCCTACAAGTGAAACCAAATGTGTCCAATCATCCATAATCGTCGATAAGTACGGCGAATGGAATAATTGGACAATCTCACCGTACGAATGACGAAACAAAAAAAACAAACAAAAAAACAAATCAGCATGACGATCGGAAAGCACACATACGATGCATTCGACACACTCCGAAACAGACACAAACTACCTGACCGCACACAAACTTGTTAAAAAGCGTTTGACAATCAAGAATGTGTCAAGGCTAATGCTAAATGCATCGATGATGATGCAACAGAGGTTGATATGGTGCGGAAGGGGCGAGCAAAGCTGCCCCACCGACGATCACAACCCCAGTTGCATACACGAGGCACTCAACACCAATCCCCGAAACAGACACAAATGACAACACACAAACTTGCACAAAAACGCTGAACACTAAACAGTTGTGAATGCTTCAAGGCGAATGCTAAATGCATCGATGATGCAACTGAGGTTGATATGGTGCGGAAGGGGCGAGCAAAGCTGCCCCACCGACGATCACAACCCCAGTTGCATACACGAGGCACTCAACACCAATCCCCGAAACAGACACAAACAACACCAACATGTATGGACAGACACATGCAAGCTCACTCACACACACACCTACACACACACACCTACACGCACACGCATACAAACACAAAAGCTTACTACCGCTATTGAACATGCAATGCAAGCGTAACGAATGAGCCCAGTCTCAGAATCCCAACCACTAGACCATTGGGATAAAAGGGCTTGTTTCAGTAGCGGGTCAGTGCGCCCATAACCCCCCAGGCAAACGTGCCTGTAACCCTTCCCTTGGATCGATCGGGGATCACCAGTGGACCTCTGACACCCCCCCGCACTGGGATGCCCGAAGTGCATACACCGGGATTCGAACCCGAGACCTTCGCTCTGATACCATCTCAGAATCCCAACCACTAGACCATTGGGATAAAAGGGCTTGTTTCAGTAGCGGGTCAGTGCGCCCATAACCCCCCAGGCAAACGTGCCTGTAACCCTTCCCTTGGATCGATCGGGGATCACCAGTGGACCTCTGACACCCAGCCTGTATAAATAATCGTTAATCTGTCCCAGATTCCCCTCCCTCCCTCCCTTGTCTCCCATCCCCCCCTCCCTTCCAATATCCTCTATTTTATTCGACCCTCCCGTCTCTGTTTACCCTCTCTCAACCCCCCCCCCCCCCCCCTTTCTCCACAAGAAAAGCCAAATAGTGCAGCTTGAACTCCCTGCACAAGAAAGCACAAACAGCACAAACAGCGCATGCAACTCACACTCCCTGGACAAGAAAGCAAAAACAGATAGTGCAGCTGACACTCCCTGCACAAACAAAAACAAACAATCACAGGAATGCAGCCCACCCGAGCACAAGAAACGAGGTAAGAGTTATAACAAGGCGCTGATGAAGAATGAAGTACAAAAATAAAGATGAGGGACGAAAGCAATCAAATTTGACATCGATTCGGTAAAAGATATCGTGTCGTCACACATACCACGCCAACATGCACGCAATACCTCGCTGCCACCCTCGCCTTCACCTTGACACTCTCATCCTCACACCTCACTCTCGCACTCACTTTCCAACTCACGTACACACTATCGCTCCCAACTTCTGTTATACACGCTCACTGAAACACACACTCCCTGCACTCTCACACTCACACAAAACTCGCATGCACTAGCACGCACACTCGCACGCACCCTTGCACGCACCCTCGCACTCACCCTCAAACTCATCTTCGCACTCATGTTCGCACGTACCCTCGCTCTCACCCTCGCACTTACCATTGCACTCACACCCGCACCCTCGCACTCACCTTTGCACTCACTTTCACACACTCACTTGCACTCACACTCATACTCACACTCACTCTCTCACTCTAACACTTGCTCTTGCACTGACCCTTGCACTCACCTTCGCATTCACTCTCGCACTCATGCTCGCACTTCCTCTCGCATTCACCCTCGTACACACACTCTTATGCACCCTCAAGAGCATGCATGCACTCACTCGCACTCACACCCGCACTCATTCTCTCACACTCTCTCACACTCACGCTCGCAACCACTCACGAACACACAAGTACTTCTAACCGTTCTGAGACACACTCACAGAAACACACACATAACCCTCACACTCACCTTCGGACTCGCGCTCGCGCTTACCCTTGCACTCACTCGAACACGCACATGCACACATAGCCGCACGCACACTCGAACCCAACTCGCACACACACCCACACTTGCACCTACAGCCACGCCCACACTCAGGCTCGCACTCCTTCTCGCAGTCCTACTCGCCCTCTATCTCCCACTTTCTCTTGCACATACTCGTACTCACCCTCGCACTCACTCTTACACTCACACCGTGATGACCCTTGCACTCAACATTGCAGCCACACTCACTCAACTCACTCACTCAGCCTCACACTCTCGCACTCACTCTTCACGCACACAAATATACTCTCAACTCTTCTTTGACAATCATAAAAACATACACACCCTTGCATATGTCCTCGCACTCACCCTCACACACACTCGAACGCACCCTCGTGTTCCTTTGCACTCAGCCTCGCACACACGCGCACACACACACACACACAAACACTCATGCGCACACTCACCCTCAAACTCGCCCTCACACTCACACTTGCACTCACTCTCAAACTTGCTTTCTCACTCACCTTCTCACTACTCTCGCACTCACTCATGCGCTTGCTCTCTAATTCAACCTCGCACTCGCCCTTGCCCACAACTGCACGCGCATCTCACTTTCGCACTCACACCCACACAAGCACCTAGATTCACACCCGCACTCCCCCTCTCGCACACTCTCGACTCACTCTTGCAACCACTCACACACACTCACGCCCTAACCACAAGCGCACCAGTGCAGAGCCCTAATCGCAAGCGACATAAGCGCAAGCGGATTAGGCGCAAGCGCCCGCGGCACCCACGCCAACGGCGCAAGCGCGCACACACTCTCTCTCCCGCCTCTCTCTCCCACACGCGCTTCGTGCTCCCTCCAGCTCTTCATTCTCTCTCAACATAAGCTGTCTCACGCGCACTCCCTGCATGCTTGCTCCTGTGCGAATGCTCTCCCTCGCGCTCCCTCTCTCCCCCTCTTCAATTGGTAGTGCAACGCAAGACGAGGCAAGACTAAACGCAGAAACTACAAATAAGGTAGGAAACAATGGAATCTCAGAGGGGTGGGAGGAATAAACGCACCTGCTAATGACGGTGCCTCGAAGACCAACCCCCGCTAGCGCACCAGCTCTCGTTCGCGCACCATCCTTATCCATGCTCTCAAACCTCCCCACGGCGGGACGGGAGGGAGTGGCGCGGCCGGGATGAGGGCGAGGAGCGGCGGAATGGAAGGGAGAGACGGCGGCAGGATGGGAGGGAGTGGCGACGGCGGGATGAGAGAGAGTGGCGAAGCAGGATGGGAGGGAGAGGCGGTGGCGGGATGGGAGGGAGAGGCGGCGGCGGGATGGGAGGGAGAGGCGGCGGCGGGATGGGAGGGAGAGACGGCGGCGAGAGGGTAGGGAGTGGCGACGGCGGGTAGGTGAGAGAGGCAACGGCGGGGTGGGAGGGGACGACGGCGGGATGGGAGGGAGCCGAGGCGACGGGATGGGACGGAGCGGAGGCGACGGGATGGGAGGGAGCGGAGGCGACGGGATGGGGAGGGAGGCGACGATGGGGAGGGCGAGGCGACGGCGGAGGGAGAGCGACGGCGGAGGGAGAGGCGACGGCTGAGGGAGAGGCGACGGCGGAGGGAGAGGGGACGGCGGGGTGGGAGGGAGCGGCGGCGGCGGGAGGAGGGAGCGGCGACGGCGGGTAGGAAGGAGAGGCGAGGATGGGTGGGAGGTGAGGGTGGGTGGGAGGGAGAGAGGACGGCGCGGTGGGAAAGAAAGGATGGTGGGGTGGAGGTGGATGCTATGACGAGGTGGGTGGGTGGGAGGGAGAGGGAACAGGTGGGTGGATTGTCACGTGAAAACACACGCACATTCACGTGACACTGACTGGGCTGAAAACAACTCTATAAAAATAGTGCAATGGTACAATACAAAGTATCATATTTGTTCACTACATAAAAAAACGATCAATATGTCTCAATGTTTAAAAATCATAAACATCCAGATTGAATCGAATACATTGCACCATCAAGAAGCACGTGTCGTATTCTTTAATACGGTAGACCTAAAAATGGCGCTAAATAAGGAAACAAAACTGCACTTCCTCTTTTTTTTTTGTCAATGTGGAATGTAACATCTACGCAACCCGTCCGACGTTAACGTCGAGTCTTGTTTTTATCGTGGCGACGCGACTGTGTTGCTGTCTGTCTGGTACTTCACCTGCGTCGCTGGGTCCTTGACGACAAGAACAGTGCGACGAAGCCGACCACCACTGTCACACCGGAGAAGCAATCATTCATAACGAAGCTGTACAGGTTCAGAAGCAGGTGAGAGTTTGTTCGCAAAGCGTTGTTACCACATGGCAAGCCACAGATTTACAGTCAGCAATGAAATTCGACTGGGTGCAGCTTACGACTAGCGAATCGCGAGGTTCCAAGGCAGCGGCGCGCTGCTTTGATGCACCACGGTTCGACTGGTTGTGTACACCCTGTTTCGCGCCACATGACATTCGTCATATTGACAAGTCGGTTGTACTGACATCAATGCGTCCAAATTGGTCCCAGAACATACCGTATAAGCACTTTTGCCCAACGAAACCAGACTTAAAAGCACGTTTGTTTTCATAAACCGCTGTCTACCGTTCTCCTGAAGTGCATTTCGGTTGCAAGCACCAGCCCGCTGAATCCAAGCACACGTGCGCACTGTAGCCGGGGATCCCGACTGTTCAAAATCGAGAAACAGGGTGTAGAAGCAAAAATCAGGGCTGGAGAGGGGATTCGTCGTGACTGTACAGCACGGCCCTGCCACATGTACAGTAGTCCTTTCCATCGACCATCTCAAGGACACGTTATCAGCTATTGCAGATTTCATATCGTAATGTGGATTTCCAACTAGTTGGATGAACAAATGGACATAAATGATCAAAATACATGTCTATGATGATGGCCATCACATTCAAGAGCTGTTACATGCCTACGCTAAGGCTGCCACTTTACTCATAGAGGCTATCTATCAGTTTGACTGGGAGGAGTATCATTGTTGTGGAAGATACTACGATAATACCAGTACATGTTGCCCAAATCCAGTGTGCAGCAACACTGGAGCCTTCTTTGCTCTGCTTGATGGATACTACGGTACCAGTAAACGGTGCTTTATACATGGGAAAGAATGGTATTTGTTCGAGGTATAAGCTTCATACATGGGCAAATATCCATACATATGCCGTGTGTATTAATGCAGATGCATACAGTTGTGTACCAGGTGAACCTCACTCAACACTTTTTGAGGCGCCAAGAAACTCAATGCAGTACTACCATAGCATTTCTGTACAAGGACCTACAAGCGTGAGCGCCACACAGAGGGTCAAACCAGGTCAATTACTATCTTCCATTCCCACCCATTCTCACCCATTCGAACCACCTCTCACTGGGCCAAGAGAGCTGTTATTTCTCCTCCCGTCCGCCTCTTCCCCATCAACCACCACCACCACCACCTCCCCATCTTGCTGCTGCCCCCCTTCCTGCCCCCCCTCCTGCCAGTGCTCCTCCCCCTGCCACTGCTCTCGCCACAAGGGTACTTGCTCCTCTCCCCTTTCATCCTCTTCTTCTGCGAAGAGTTGTTCCTGCTGCTGCTGTTGTTGTTGCTGCTCATGCTGATGTTGTTGTTGCTGCTCCTGCTGCTGCTCGTGCTGCTGCTGTTGTTGCTGTGACCCCTGGTCCCCTGTGCCCATCTCCCCTGCATGTACCGCCCCTGCATTCATCTCCCCTGTTCCCACCTCCCCACTATCCGCCCCCCCTGCATCCACCTCCCCTCTTCCCAACTCCCCTGCAGCATCCACCTCCCCTCTTCCCACCTCATCTGCATCTACCTCCCCTCCTCCCACCTCCCCTGCATCTGCCTCCCCTGCACCCCCGTCCCCTACATCTACCACTCCTCCTCCCACCTCCCCTGCTCCCACCTCCCCTGCTCCCACCTCCCCCGATTCAAGCACAAAGGCTGCTCCCTTGCACACGGGGCACACGGGGTGCTTGAAGATCCAGTTCAATATACACTCGGAGTGATACGCTGGAGACACGGGAAGAGGGGGGAGAGGGGGAAGAGGGGGGAGAGGGGGGAGAGGGGGGAGAGGGGGGAGGCGGGGGAGATGTGGTGGAAACGCGGGCAGAAATGGGGGAGACGAAACACTCTTGCTTCTGCTCTGCTCCGTTGCACACGGGGCACTCGGGGTGCTTGACAATCCAGTTCACTATACACTCCGAGTGATATGCTGGGGATAGGAGGAGAACGGAGTGGATGGAACGGGGCAAGGAGGGCAGAAGGAGGGAAGGAGGAACACTCGAGCTTCTGCTCCCTTGCACACGGGACACACGGGGAGCCTCACGATTCATTTCACTATGCATTCCGAGTGATATGCTGGAGAGATAGGGGGATGACGGAGTGGATGGAACGAGGCAAGGAGGGGAGAAGGAAGAAGCTCCTCCCTTGCAGACTGGACACACGGGGGCACACGGGGGCACATGGGGGCACACGGGTTGCTTGAAAATCCAATTTACTTTGCATCTCGAATAAAATGCCTAGAGTCGACTCAAAACTCGAGCATTCATTCACTATGCACTCCATGGAGACTTTTGAGTCGACTCAAAAGTCACCTCGAGCATTCATTCACTATGCATTCCGCGGAGGAAAAAGGAAAGAAGGGCAGAAGGAAGGGAGAAGCCATTCGCGCTTCCGGCTCCCTTGTCGAGATCATAGAGGAAGATGGGACAGTGCTGTGATCACGGGGGCACACGTGCTGTGAATTGGATTTTCCGCTGTGATCACAGAGGGAGATGGGAGAGTTGAAGGTCAAAGATAGAAGAAATTCGAGGAGACAGAAGGCGGTGAGCTGAAACAGGAACCTACAGTGGGAGCACGGAAGGAAGCACACGCTTTGCCCTTTGTCAAAGTCACAGAGGCAGATGGGACAGAAAAACTCCTCCTCCCCTCTCTCCTGCGCCTCTGCTGCTGCTGCCGCAGCCGCCTCTGCAGCAGCAGCCAATCGTAGCATGCCAGGTGTCGCTGTCAATGCTGCTGCTCCCGCTGCTGCTTCCCCTGCTGTCTCCCCTGCTGTTTCCCCTCCTGAACCCCCTGCTACTCCCTCTATAAGCACCCCCTCCTCTCCTGCCTTCTCTCCTCCCTCCTCCGCCCCTTGCTTGCCTCCCCAACCAAAATCCCCTTTCTCCTCCCCGCCTGTTTTCGCTCCCCTTTGCCCTTCCTTCGCCTTCTCACCTTTCCCTCTCCCCCAAACCACGTGCACAGGCAGCAAATAAGAACCAGCAGAATGAGAAACGCTCGCTCTGCTTCCTCCTGACCTACTACCCCCAGCAGACGCAAGAGAGGCTGACAGAGCAGCAGCAGCCGTGGGAGACAGCAACTCGAGCGGTCGGCGCGCGTTGTCTGCTAGTAAACCGCTGCCGGCCTGCCCCCTGGAAACACCGTTCATCTGCTGCTGCTGATGCAAAAGCTGCTGCCACAGCTGCTGCTGCTCCCATTCCTGCTGCTGCCTCTCAGGTTGATGCTCCTGCTCCTGCTGCTCTCGCCTCTGCTGCTGCCCTTGCTGTTGACCCTGCGGCCCCCCCTGCAAAAACTGCTCCTCTAGTTCCTGCCAACGCTCCCGCCAAGGCATCACCTGCTGCTGCTGCTGCGTTTCCAAACCCTCCTGCGCTCCTCTCCCCTGCTCCCGCGCCCGCTCCTCCTGAAGCCGCCTCATCGACTCGAGCAGAGAACTGCCTCTTGCCGAGCCTATCCCCAAGGCTCGGCGGCGGCGGCGGCGCCTAGCTGCGGCAATGCTACAGATGGCACAGACTATGCAGACGACAGCGCACGGCCACATGACGACACAGAGGGTGATTGCAACTGAGAAGGCGATGCACGTGGTGCTGCAGTCGCCTAAAGTCGTGCTGTTGCCCTCGTTGCTGCTGCTGCTGCTGCCGCCGCCGTCGCCGCCGCCGCCGCTGCTGCTGCTGCTGCTGCTGCTGTTGCTGCTGCTGCCTGTGCTGTTTGTGCTGTTGGTACTGGCAGTGCTGTTGTTTCTGTTGCTCCTGCCAGTGCGGCCGTTGTTCGTCTTGTTGCTGCTGCTGCTGCCGTTTCTGCTGCCGCTGCTGCCGGTGCTGCTGTTGTTCCTTATATTATCAATAGTGGTGGTGGTGGTGGTGTTGGTGCCACTGCTCCCACTGCTGCTCCCAATACTGCTACCATTCCCATTGCCATCCCCGTTACTATTCGATGCATTGCTGCTATTTCTTCCACTTTCTAAGAACCCGGAGTCAGACAGTAAGCGCCCGAACCTAACGGCCTGGTTCGGCCCGAGCCTGGGCGTCAGATGCCACGACCGAAGCTTTCTCCTAGGGTCGGCAGGCACCGAAGCTGCGGATGCAAGGAGGGATGGAAACAAAAACGAAGGGCTCAACCAATAGAAACGAGGCCAAAGGGCGCTGGCACTCGTTAGCGGTGATAGCGAAGCAGCTTGTATCGAGTACGCTGCCCGGCTGATTGTCAACTCGTCTGTGCTTGTATCGGCGTGGCTTATATAGGGGATGCCTTGCGAGTTTGGAGGTCCCTTCCCGGAAATCGCTGCTAGGAGGAGGAGAGGAATGAGAATATTGCAGCTGCGAAGGCGGTTATGATATACGCGATGGAATCGGAATAAACGAGGTTGACTGAAACGAGTACAACCCCGCGGCGCTGCCCCCTCGTTCCGCTTTAGAAAGCCTGGTGCTTGCGCTGCTGCTATTCTCCCGAGGCGCCTCGAAAGTAGTCGCGCTGCTGGCGCTGCTGTCGCAACTGCTGTTCCGTCGTTCCATTCTAGAAAGGCCGGTGCTTGCGCTGCTGCCATTCCTGGTAAGATTCCCTCTCCGCCTCGCTCTATCTAAGCATATTATAACCATAACTTTCCGAGAAAGAGAAACAAATAAAGATATTTCTATAACGCGTACACGCGTTTTCTCAGGTGCCGGCGTGTCCGTCCGGTTGCCTATAACGGGAAAACACGTTTGGCCGACCGTGAACATATGCCGCTATACTCGCGCTTCTGTCGCTTCTGTCGCTACTGCCGCTGCTGCCACTGCAGAAACCTACTGCCGGTTCTCGCGCTACACTATACCACTATCCCAGACGCTGCTGCGAACACATCACATCAAAGCTCCGCCTCTCAATACCGTGTGCTCCTATTATATCTCAAGAACGAAGGTGAAATCTCCACTGATTCTTGGATTGGAATGGTGACAGACTCGGTTCTAGATTAGTACCGTTTTCGTTTGTGTTGAACCGTTTCGAACCGTGATACATGAATCGAAATGAAGACGATGCAGCGCGGAATTTGGGTGCGCTGTCGCATCATGCTGCTGCTTTGCAGGAGACAAACTGTACCCGTAAAGAGAACGCGATAACTGTTCTGGTGCAGCTACAATATTTTTCAGAAAAACACGCACACGCAACTGAACATGTGCAAGAACTTATCAATCTCCTACATGCAGCAATCGGGAAATACACACCAACAGGCAGTACCTAATTAGCAAGGCACATAAAATAAGAGAACCTGATTCTTTAAATCAGCATCAGCATGTACAATGAACACATGATGGACAACCCGATACTCACTACTGGTACTTGTCCAGCAACGCATCCAGAATAGCTACTGTTTCATTATCCGGCACGCCATCATAAATCCTGGGGCGGAAATGCATCTGAAACGCCGCAATCACGGCCGACGTTTTCTCATCCAGCTCGCCAGTTTGGGGAGTGTCATAACCGAAGTTCAGCAACTTTTCTTGCAGCGTGGCGATCGCCTGTCTCTGCCCGGTGGGGTCGTCAACCGGAAGTATGAAGGGGAAATTGCGCTGATAGAACTGAACGCGGTCGTCATCCGGCCAGGCGCCGATTTGATAGCGCAGGAAGAGGTCCCGCCAGGGAAACAAGGGACCGGGATCCGACTTGCGGCCCGGCGCCACGTCGGCATGCCCGACTACATTGATAGGACGGATTTCGTGGCGTCCGATAATATCTTGAACCAGCCGTCCGACCACTTCGATCTGGTCCGGAGGGTAAGGGTACCAGCGACGCTGCATAAGGGGCAGCGACTCATCGGCTTCCGGAAACCCCAGGTTGACCGTTTCAATACCAATCGATCCCGGATTGAGCAAGCGGCTCCCGCGCCAAAAACTTACGCCCGCATGCCAGGCGCGCCGATCCTCATTCACAAGCCTGTACACGTGGAAGTTGCGCTGCCGCTCCGGCGCGTCAGGAATCAAATAGTGGGCGCTGACCTCCTTCTTGGGGTCGGTCAGTGTTTTCAGCGAGTCCGCCAGAGATTGCGCCGTATAGTGCAGCACAAGAAACTGCGCCCGCGAATCCTGATTAGGAGTTTGCACCGTTGTATCGACCGAGTACTTCACGCCCCGTGTGGTACATGCGCTCAAGAATGCAGTCAAAAACAATATATGGCATCGAGTTCTCTGAAAACACTGAAGAGAAAATGGCAAGAGTAAATGCATCTTTGTAGATTCTCGCGGGTAGGGATTTGCTTGTGTTATCTCGCATCGCAGTCATCGAGCGCGAAAAGGGTCACAAACGCATCACATCTAGCACCGTGCGTCCCTAACTCAAGAGGAAAGGTGCTATCCACATATCCACTCGGCTCTGAATCTTGGATAAGAGTGGTGCTGTGCCGTGCATGTACATAGACCTCTACGGTCCAGTCGGGTTCTCGAGGTTTTAGACTTGGTTCTAGATTAGTACCGTTCTCGATTGTATTGAAACCATTCCGAACCGTGGTACATGAATCGAATGAACACGATGCGCCACGGAATTTGGGTCGGCTATTGAATCATGCTCCTACCTTACAGGAGAAGAACTACCTGTAAAGAGAACGCGATAGCAGTTCTGGTGCAGCTACACTTACATGCACGCTATTCAACATGTCCGAGAAATTATCAATCTTCTACATGCTACAATCTGACACACTAACTAGCAATGCATATACAGTATGATAAGAGAACTTAATCAATTGACCTTCACAAATCGTCAACATGCACAATGAACACATAATACAATACCAAACTAGAGATGGCAACGATTGTAGTACTGTAGTTTCCTTCCAGCACCCTTTGAACCACAACTCACATTTATAAACTACATGAACATTCATGAGAAGCTATCGACCAACCTATGGCATCACCAACACCACCATGCACAGCCAACATCCTATCCAGTGACAACCACATACCGTACAGCAGCTTTCAACCACCCCAACCACATCCTACCACGAAAATCACTCACATGTCCGCTCATGAGAAGCTATGGACCAACCACCCTATGGCATCGCCATCACCATGCACCGCCAACACTCTACCCAGTGACAACCACATTCGAACAGCATCATCCCTCGTCCACCCTCCATCCTCACACACCCTCCCACAACCACCTTCGTTATTGTCACACTCACTCCCACTAGAACCACCCGACCTTGGAGTTGCCTTGGGAGGGAGAACGGATGTGAGTGTATGAAGCGTGGCTCTATAAGCTAATATAGGAGCTATTTCTGCTGGTGTACCATCCCCTGGTAGCATGATTCGATCAACCCTTGTAGAGGGAGCTCTCATTCTTGTATGCTGCTGACTCATGCAACACTCTGGACTGCTTTCTGTAGGAGTGCTGTCCCCTTTAAGAGCAGCTTCGATAGAAGCAGGCAAGTGGCACCAGTCGTCCTCGTGTGAATGCCCCTCCATGCCACAATAATCCTGGTTCCATCGCCAATGCCCTCCCAATGCATCGGCACCATTGGCAGTGTTGCTAGTGGTGGCAGTGGTGGCAGCATCAGCAGCATTTGGCACCACGGCTTGAGGGTAGTGGCAGACTCGAGTAGAAGGTACTTGAGAGGATTGTACTGCCGCTGATGGGGATAGGATCGCATGGTAGGGGACTGGATCCCGCCAGTCAAGAAAGTCAACACCAGTCTTCTCCTTGCCCCGGTCAAAGTCAACCTCAGTCTCCAGCCCTAAGGGAACTCTCCGGCAAGTCAAAACCCCATCGATGACGTCAGCATCTGCCAGCCTGGCAGTCAGCTCGGTCAACCGAGTCAACAGAGCCAGCTCCTGCCGAGCCTCGGTCGTAGCCTCGGGATTTGGCCTGTGTGCTGCTAGCCAATCAGAAGGCGGCACCTGGCGCTTGAGCTCCTTCCAGGTGTCTGCTGCGCTGGCAGAGCACACCTCTTCAAATCGCGTGTTGCCATGTGGCAGCAGCTCCTCCAGCAACGGATCTTCATCATCCTCCACGTCATCAGTTAGTAATTCCACCTCATTTGCTTCCACTGCCACCTCATCCGCTTCCACTGCCACCTCATCCGCTTCCACTGCCACCTCATCCGCTTCCACTGCCACCTCATGCATCCCAACTGCCACGTCATCCACCTGCCCTTCCACCTCACCACATTCCTCCAGCCCATTCTCGGCTCCCCCCCTCCTCTCATCGCATTCCTGTTTCTCCTTTTCCAATTCCTCCTCCCTCCCCTTCTCAACCTCCTCTCTGCCCTCATCACCCTCCTCCCTCACCTTCTCACCCTCCTCTCGCCCCCTCTCACAACCACCCTGTGCTTCCCCTTGTCCTTCCCTCCCCACGTCTGCTACAACCGTCTCTGCTACAGCCACACCTGCTGCCGCCCCACTGCCTTTCACTGCCTCACTAGAAGCCTCCTCACGTAACCCTCTTCTAACCCTGTCATCTGCTACAGCCTCGTCTGCTACAGCCTCGTCTGCTACAGCCCCCATCGCTACAGCCTCCTCTCCTACACACTCCTTTGCTACAGCCCCCTTTGCTACAGCCCCCTTTGCTACAGCCCCCTCTGCTACAGCCCCCTCTGCTACAGCCCCCTCTGCTACAGCTCCCTCTGCCGCTGCCGTCTCTGCTATGGCCTGCTCTGCTACAGCCTCCCCTGCTGCAGCCTCCCCTGCTACAGCCTCGTCTGCTACAGCTGCTACAGCCACACCTGCTGCCACCCCACTGCCTTCCACTGCCTCACTACAAGCCTCCTTACCTAACCCTCCTCTCACTCTGTCCTCCACTGCTACAGCCTCCTCAGCTACAGCCTCCTCAGCTACAGCCTCCTCTGCTACAGCCTCCTCAGCTACAGCCTCCTCTGCTACAGCCTCCTCAGCTACAGCCTCCTCTGCTACAGGCTCCGCTGTTGCAACCAAAACTGCAGTTACAGACTTCGCTACAGCCTCCTCTGCTACAGCCGAATTTGCTACAGGCTCCGCTGCTACAGCTTCCTCTGCTACAGCCTCCTCTGCTACAGCCTCCTCTGCTACAGCCAAGTCTGCTGCATCTGCTACAGCCACACCTGCTGCCGCCCCACTGCTTTCCACTGCCTCACTACAAGCCTCCTTATCTCCCACACCTCTCACTCTGTGCGTCTCTGACGCCTCCTCGTTCTCCTCCTCATCATCGGACCTCACAACCGTCCTCTGCTTGTGAGGCGCTTCAGGAACCTTGTGCCTTTCAGGAACCTTGTGCCTTTCAGTCGGCCCAGAACTAGGCCCGCTCACTCCACCTTGTCCTCTGCGAATCTCCTCCCCCTCCTCCTCATCATCTGACCTCACAACCGTCCTCTGCTTGTGAGGCGCTTCAGAATCGGGTAATCCATGCACCCCCACTCCACCTTCCCCATGTCTTTCTTGACTGTTCCCTTGATCTTTGTGCCTCTCCCCCTCCTCCCCCTCCCCACCCTCCTCCCCCTCCTCCCCCTCCTCCCCCTCCCCACCCTCCTCCCCCTCCTCCCCCTCCTCCCCCTCCTCCTCCACCTCCCCCACTTCCTCCTCGTTATCTGACCTCACAAAAACCCTCTGCTTTTGAGGAGCTTCAGGAACAGGTATCTTCCCCCTTCTGATTCTTCTCTCCTCCCCCCCATCCTCCTCCTCGTCCTCTGATCTCACAACCGCCCTCTGCTTTCGAACAGGTACCTTTCCCCCTCTGTGCCTCTCCTCCCCCCCCCTCCTCCTCCCCCACCTCCTCCTCCCCCCCCCTCCTCCTCCTCCCCCTCCTCCTCGTCATCTGATCTCACAACCGCCCTCTGCTTTCGAACAGGTACCTTTCCCCCTCTGTGCCTCTCCTCCCCCCCCTCCTCCTCCCCCTCCTCCTCGTCATCTGATCTCACAACCGCCCTCTGCTTTCTTTTCCTGCCCTCTAAGCTCTTCCTGCTTTCTTCTCCTCTAGTCTTTTCCCAACACTCCCCTCCTCCACCTTCCCTACTGTCTGCTCCCACATCTGCTGTTCCTTCTGCATCCGATTCTGCTGCCACCCTCCCTTTCACTGCCCGTCTTCTAAGCTTTCTCCGTCTCCCCTCCACAACCATATGATCCCTTTTTCCTGAATCATTATCATTCCCCTTTTCCAAATCACCCACTCGTTGGATACCATACCCTTCTGTTTTGTCACCACCCCCCACCACCACCACCTCCTCTCCCTCTTCTTCCATTGCAGCTAATCTCGCTGCCCGCTTTCTCGCTCTCTCCACCCTCTCCCTCTCTTTTTCCGCTGCCCGTTCTGCCCGTTCCAACCTCCTCCTCTCAGCCCTCTCCCTCGCCTCTCTCTCCCTCTCCCTCTCCTCCCTCCTCCTCCTCCCCTCCCATCTCCTCCCAAGCACCCCTGCAACTGCTTCCCTCTCCCCCTCTGCTGCTTTTGCAACTTCTGCAGTCAACAGGGCAGCCAAAAACTTTGTAACCTGGGCAAAGGCCCTGTCTTGAACCTGCCCAAAAAACGCGGGCAGGGATCTGTGTGGAGCCCCCAGCTCCCAGAGGGATTTAATCTTCTCCTCCCTCCTGACACCCCTTGCTCTCTCCATACTCTCTACTTCACCCAATGAGCCTTCCCCCTCATTACAATCACAGCCACTCTTGCCACAATCACACCTGCTTCTGTCAAAGTAACCGTCACCTTTCTCACAGAGAGTTGATTTTCTGGGTAACCAGAATTGGAGGAAGAGAAGGAGGGAGCGCAGGTCGGTGGGGAGAGAGGAGAGTAGGAGAGAGAGGAGGGAGGGAGATGGGGGGACAGAGAGGGGTGCTTGCTCCGTGCAGACCTGGGATGAGAGTGTTGAAAAGGGGAACATAGCACAGGGGATGGGCAGTGGGGATCGGGAGAGGGCAAGGGAAGAGGGGAGCTGGTGAAGGGGATGATGCAGCTGACCCAGTACGAGCATACGACACGACCGAGGAACAGCACTCGCAAGCTTTGCACACACGAGTATGACTGCTCTTAACTTGTGCAGCAAAGGCAGCGCTTGGCGGGCGGAGGGCGTGGTGAAGGGGATGATGAAGCCAACCCAGTCACAGCACCACACGACTGAGAAAAATCACAAGCCCTATACACACGAGTATGGAAGCTCTCACCTTGTGCAGCAGCGGCAGCACTTGGCATGCTGAGGGCCTAGTAAAGGGAATGATGAAGCGAGTGAGGGCTGCGGGAAGGTTGGGGTTGGGAGCTGGAGGGGAATAGGGCAAGGCGAACAGGAGCGAAGAGGATGCATGGGGGGCAGGGATGAGGGAAAGAAGGTTCAATGCGTTATTTCTTGTGTAACTCGTACAGTTTGCGTGTGAATATCATTCGTAGATATAGTGATATGTGCACATATAGGAAAAAGGTCCAAGGTCTCAGGTTCAATACTCACAGTTGGCAGTAAACGGGGCGTTTGTTGCGCTGGCTGGAGGGACTCAGCAGCTGCACCAGCAGTGCAACAAAGCCCGTCCTCTAAAAGCAGAAGGTCTCAGGTTCGATACTCACAGTTGGCAGTTAGGATGATGGGGCGTTTGTTGCGCTGGCGGGAGGGACTCAGCAGCTGCACCAGCAGAGTAACGAAGCCCCTATCCTCCTCTATAAGCACATCCACGTCCTCAAATAGAAGCACCGACGCTCCCATGCGCCTTGATTTAGCCGCAGGAACACCAAAAGCATCACCAGCAGCAGCAGGAACAGCAACAGCAGGATCAGCAGCAGCAGGGGCAGCAGGGGCGGCAGCGGCAGCAGCAGCACGAGAGAAAGGGGTGCCACGTGGCAGGACGTGATTGGTGGAGAGGCGGTGCGAGAAGAGGAGCTCGGAGAACCTTCCACGAAGCAGCGCGCCGTCTCGAGCATCAGAAGCGTTGACCTCCACGACTTGAAAACCGAGAGATGCTGCACAAGCGTATGCCGCTGCTGTCTTGCCGCTCTGATGAACAAGGGAAGGGGAGAGAGGTGTGAAAGGTTAACGGCTTGAGGGCCTGGAAACAGAGGCATTGACCTCCACGACTTGGAAACCCAGGGATGATGCACAGGCGTATGCCGCTGCTGTCTTGCCGCTCTGAAACGGAAGGAAAGGAAAGGAAAGAGGGAAGAGAGGGAGGCTGTTTGGCATGAAGCAGCGCTCCGTCAAGAGCGTCAGATGCGTTGACCTCCATGACTTGGAAGCCGAGAGCTGATGCACAGGCGTATGCAGCTGCTGTCTTGCCGCTCTGATGAAAGAGCAGAAAGAGGGGGGTAGCTTTGCAGCACACGACTTTTGAGACGTCTCAAAAGTCGTCTACTTACACACTGATGAAAGAGAAGAAAGAGGGGGGTAGACTTGCAGCACCCGGGAGGAAACAAGAAGCACCACTCGCTCAAGATAAGGAGAGGCTGAAAGGGAAAGACGCACTCTTTCGGAAAAAGAAAGGCTCTCACCCCCACATGCCCTGTTCTCAGCACAGCACACAGCAGGAAACAGAATCACCGATGTTCTAAAGAAAAGAGAGGCTCTTTCAGAAAAACAAAGGCTCTTACCCCCACAGGTCCTGTTAGCAGCACAGCACATGGCAGCTGCTCCCCTTCCTCCTCCATCCAACCATCCGAGTCACTCCCCTCGTTATAATCACCCTCTGCACTGTAATCACTCCCACTACAGTCACGCTCCATGTCACCACCACCACTGTCACTATCGCTCCATTCCTTCCTGTCGCCACTCTCTGTCCGAGCTCCAATTCCAGATCTCTCCCTGTCCTCTTCATCAGAGCCCCTCCCCACTCTCCTTTGCTTCACTGCCCTTGCTCGCCTGCTCTGCTGGTCACCACTCACTATTCTTCCATCACCCCCCACCATTACACCATCCCCTACTGCACCTGCCCCAACATGAGCATCCGCAGTGGCTGCAGCAGCACCACCAACGCCACCAGCAGAGCCAGGATTACCATAAGCAGCAGTATCAGCAGCAGCATCAGCAGCAGCATCAGCAGCAGCATCAGCAGCAGCATCAGCATCAGCATCAGCATCAGCAGCAGCAGCAGCATCAGCAACAACAGCAGCACCAAAAGCAGCAGCAGGATCCGCATTAGCAGCGGCACCGGCAGCTGCAAATTCAGCAGCTTGAGCCTGAGCATCACAGACGGGTGTAAACCCAAGGCGATTCTGCCACAACTGCAGCCACTGCAGCAACTCGTTAACAGCAGCCTCGTTGCCACATATCTGACAAAGATAGAGGGAGAAGGGAGACAGGCAGGCAGAGGACCCAACAGAGTCAGTCATCCTGAGAGATAGGTGTAAGACCACGCCCTGCCAAAGCTACAGCCACTGCAGCAACTCGTTAACAGCAGCCTCGTTACCACAAATCTGACAGGGAGAAAGGAAGGGCTGACCTCTGCAGGGCTCTTGGGCTGGTAATGGCGCGACCACAGGTCACTCGCTGCTCCTACTGCTTCTGTTGCTCCTCCTGCTCCTTCTGTTACTTCTAATTTGGATCCCCCCACCACAGCCACCACAGCTGCTGCTTCTGTGGCAGAACCTGTGGCAGCACCTGTGGCAGCACCTGTGGCAGCACCTGTGGCAGCACCTGTGGCAGCACCTACTGCTGCACCTGCCTTCCCTTCTGTACCCTTTGCTGTGTCAACTGGAGTATCAACTGCTATATCAACTGCCGTATCAGCGTCCGTATCAACTGCAGCATTAACTGCTGTATCAACTGCTGCATGCCCTGCTGCACCCTGTGCTGCTGCTGAGCATCCAGCAATAGAAGCTGCTCCCTGCTGTTGCTCTATCTTCTCCCCAAATCCTCCCTCCGTCCCCTCCCGCCCCCGCCTTGTCTCCTCCCCTTTTACCTCTCCCTTTCCCTCTTGGAACATTCTCCCATACACACCAGCAGCACAGCGGCCAAACAGCACTTGCCCGAGGGGGGGGAGCCCGGGGAGGGTGGGTTTCATACGATGCTGCTGCCGCTGCTCTTCCTTTTGAAACGTCACAACTAACGACTTCATACAATACTGCTGCTGCTGCTGCTGCTGCTGCTGCTGCTGCTGCTGCTGCTGCTGCTGCTGCTGCTGCTGCTGCTGCTGCTGCTGCTGCTGCTGCTGCTGCTGCTGCTGCTGCTGCTGCTGCTGCTGCTGCTGCTGCTGCTGCTGCTGCTGCTGCTGCTGCTGCTGCTGCTGCTGCTGCTGCTGCTGCTGCTGCTGCTGCTGCTGCTGCTGCTGCTGCTGCTGCTGCTGCTGCTGCTGCTGCTGCTGCTGCTGCTGCTGCTGCTGCTGCTGCTGCTGCTGCTGCTGCTGCTGCTGCTGCTGCTGCTGCTGCTGCTGCTGCTGCTGCTGCTGCTGCTGCTGCTGCTGCTGCTGCTGCTGCTGCTGCTGCTGCTGCTGCTGCTGCTGCTGCTGCTGCTGCTGCTGCTGCTGCTGCTGCTGCTGCTGCTGCTGCTGCTGCTGCTGCTGCTGCTGCTGCTGCTGCTGCTGCTGCTGCTGCTGCTGCTGCTGCTGCTGCTGCTGCTGCTGCTGCTGCTGCTGCTGCTGCTGCTGCTGCTGCTGCTGCTGCTGCTGCTGGTCCTGTCCCTCCTTCGTCCCCTCTGCCTCTTGGGTTACATGGAAGGGATTTAGAGGCAGCAGAGGAACCTTCCGACCAGGAAACCTGATCACCCGCGCACCAAAGAACCCCCCATTACCAGCAGCCTTCCCACCTGCCCCAACTGCTGCCCCTCTCCCAGTAACACCTCCCCCGAAGCCACCAAGAACCCCATCCCTACCACTGGTTAATCCCCCTGGAGTGCCAACCCCCCCTGGCCCGTCAACATGACCAGACCCATCCACACGAGCAGAGCTATCAAGTCGCTTTGAGCCATCAACAACACCCTGTACACAGTTAGCAAGCCCTCCTGTCCCAGAAGCAGCTCCCCCCCTGCCTGCTCTCTGCAGCCACTGCTGGTACCACTCCCCTCTTGGCCGCTTCACCTCTACCACCCCCTCCTCCTCCTCACCCTCCTGCTTACTAACCCTCTCTCCTCTTGCCTCCTCTCTTGCCGCCCCCTTTTTTGCCTGCTCCTGCTTTTCAGTGCCGATCCCAATCCTTTTCTCCTCTCGCTTACCCCCTTTCCCTCCTGCTCCCCTGCCCCTGCCTCGCTTTCTCCCTCTTATCCCTTTGGTTCCCTTCTTCCTTCCTTCCCCACCACTCTCCTCCTCTTCCTCTTCCTCTTCCTCTTCCTCCTCTTCCTCGTCTTCCTCTTCATCTTCCTCCTCTTCTTCTTCTTCGTCTGAAATAACAACTGCTTTGGGCCTTCCTCTCCCTCCACCCCTACCCCTTCCCCCTCCTCTTCCTACCCCTCTTCCCCCTCCTCTCCCTCCCCTCCCTCTCCCTCCCAATGCTCCTCTCCCTCTCACTGCTGCCCTTCCTCTCCCTCTTCCACTCACTCTCTTTCCCCCATCCCCCTCCCTCCCCACACACCCCACCACCACATCCTCTTCCCCTTCTGACAACTCCACTACAACAGCAGCAGCACCAGCAACAACAGCAGCAGCACTGCTGTTCCAGTTATTAGCAGCCTCGTTAGCAGCAGCAGCACGGACTGGCTTCGGCTGGCGTTGCCTGGGGAGAAAGAACGAGTGCATGGGCCGACCAGCAGTGGACTGAGCAAAGAGCTGTTGGGTTGGGGTAATGGGAAAGGTGGAGGTACGGGGTGGTGAAAGGGAGTGGGGAGTGGTAGCAACAGGCAGGGAGTCACAGAGCAAGGAGACAAAGATAGAACACATAGGAGATAGATGGAGAATAATGGAACTAAGACCTGCAAGCTGGTGAGTCTGTCTGTGCTGCCTTGTGCCCCCTCTTCATATAGCCACTGCTGAGCTGAAAAGACATCTCATTTGAGCTGTCTTGTGCGCCTCTTCCCGCATCCGTGCCTTCTCCCTCTCCACCTTAGCTTCCATGCTCTCCTCTTCCTCTTACTCAAGGCCCACCTGAGCCAACGCTCACACAATCTTCCACCCACCTGAGCTGTCTTGTGCGCCTCTTCTCGCATCCGTGCCTTCTCCCTCTCCACCTTAGCCTCCATGCTCTCCTCTTCCTCTTCTTCCTCGTCCTCTTCTTCTTCCTCCTCCTCTGCCTCCTCTTCCTCTTCTGCTTCCTCTTCCATTACTTGCACATCATCATCCGAGTCCTCCCCTTCCTTTCCCACCTCTTCTTCCTTCCCCACCTCGTCCTCCTTTCCCACCTCCCCATCCTTCCCCTCTGCTTCATCCTTAGCCCCCTCTCCCTGCAATGCCTCTTTCCTTGAATCTTCCTCAACCTCCTGAATATCAACCTCTCGTTTCACCCTTCTTACACACCCTTCATCCCCTGACACCGTCAAATCCACATCCTCACAAGCTTTACCACCCTCTTTTGTATCACCCTTTACCACCTCCGCACAAGTTTTATCACCTTCGTTATTATCATGCTCCGCCAACCCCTCACCAGCATAACCAGCTTCATTTGTATCACACAAGTACACAGGTAGCACCACCGCTCCCCCCCTATCAAACTCACCACCCATGGGCACAAACCGGATCCCTAGCATCATCTGCTGCAGCCGCTTCCCTCCTCTGGAAACAGGCCCTCTGTTCTCACTGTGACGCATTCCTTTCAAACTTTCGCGTGTGGCCTTTTGAGTCGCTGTAGCCTTCTGAGTCGTTGCAGCAGTGGGGTGCCCTTCAGCAGCAGGCTTTCCGCGTGTCCTTGGCCGTTCCTGCAAGGCATTTGGCTGGAAAAGACTCCTCTGCTTCAGCCTCCGACCTGGAATGAAGTCATTTCAAGGGGAGGGGAACACGTTGAGGGGATGGGGTTTAGAGTCCCATCACCTAGCAGGCTTTCTTTTGAGGCGCCTCAAAAGACATCACCTAGCAGGCTTTCTGTGCATGCTTGACTAGGGATGCTGAAGACAGCAGGAACAGGGATGGTGAAACCCGACCAAAAACGATACCGAACCAGAAAAGATACCCTAAATATCGGACAGTTTCTATGGGCCAGTCTTAGCACTGACGACTGGGACTTACCATAACGGGACGTCCCCACCCCGCCAAGCGCCTCTGCTACAGCAGGATGCTGAGATTCCACCAGCGGAGCGAGCTGTGCCGGGTGAACCAGGGCTGGTTGAGCTGCTTCAACCGGAGCAGCCTGAACTGGCCCACCAGAAACTGCTGCCGCTTCGCGAAGCGCCTCTGCTGCAGCAGGCGGTTGAGGTTCCACTGGGCCTGGTGAAGCGAGCTGTGCCTGGTCTACTGAGGGTGGCTGTGCTGCTGCTTCCTCCACTGGAGCAGCCTGAACCGGCCCACACCCACCAGAAACCGCAGCTGCTTTGCCAAGCGTCTCTGTTGCAGCAGTCGGTTGAGTTTCCACTGGTGAAGCGAGCTGTGCTTGGTGTGATAGGGCCGGCTGTGCTGCTGGTCCGGGTGTAGTGACACCAGCAGCAGCACCAGCAACTGTGATGGCGGGAGAAACTTCACCGGAAGCTGCATCAGCAGTAGGCATGACAGTAACAGGAGCCTCACTTGCAGCTAAAGCAGTCGGTGCATCATGCTGCGGCATATCAGCAGCAGCATAAACAGCAGCAGTAGCAGTTTCACTTCCAGTGGTAGCAGCAGCTTCGGCAGCCCCAAAATTCTGCTCTGCAGCATCCCCATTCTCATCGTCCCCTTTGCCGCACGGCATAGTTTCAGCCCCGACCACGTCGACTGTCCCTTCCCTGCTGAAATCAGCCACTCGCTCCTCCTTCTCCTTCACCGTCCCCTTTTGCTCATTCCCTTTCACCTCTTCGCGCTCCTTTTGTTGCACCTGTTGCCGAGTGTCTTCCCCATCCTCCTCCATCGCACTCAACTCCTCCATAACGCTCACACGCTTCCTCCCAACACCAACGCCTACGGGCGAGCCCACAGAGGACATGGACGCGACGACGGGTGTCGAATGAGCGGGTGACACGTCAGCTGCAGGGGCGGGTGACACGTCAGCTGCAGGGGCGGGTGACACGTCAGCTGGAGGGGCGACTGACATATCAGCTGCAAGAGCGGGTGACACGTCAGCTACAGGGGTGGCTGACATGTCAGCGGCTGACACGTCACCAGCCACTGCAGGATACGCCTCTGCTACCGTGGTACCCTCGACCGCCTCCATCTGTTTCCCTCCTTTCTTGGGTCGACCCCGCTTACGTTTCACCTCACCCACCCGCTGCTGCTGCTGCATCTGCTCTTCTTGCTGCTGCTGCTGCTGCTGTTTCTTCTCTGCTTGTTTGCGCTTTCTCCTTTCCAGCGCGGGCAGGAAAAAGTCTGCATCAGGTGATGCGTAAGCGCAAGGGGAACAAAGAAAAAGAAAAACTGAGCCTTCAAACCCGTTAGGCCACCGACTCACAAATCATCAATGAAACTGCAAGAGACGGAAGACCCTACTTTGAATGATCGCATTTTCGTATTTGTGCAGCAGTTCTGGTGTCTGTCTGCTACTCATGTCATACCATGTCTTGGTGCTGATGGTGTTGCCGTAATGGGCGCTCCCTCCTCAGCCGCTGCCACCTGCTTGCCTCCATCAGCCTCCGCCGGAGCAACCTCCACTGGAACTGCCTTATCTGCAGAGGTTTCAGCAGCCATGCCAGTAACCGCTGGTTCGCCGGCGGCTGTTGCTGCTGCTGCAATGGTTGCTCCCTGCTCGGCTGTTGCCACCTCCTTGCTTCCGCTTCCACTAACCTCCGCTGGAGCGACCTCCACTGGCACTGCCTTTTCCGCAGCACTTACGCCCGCCAGGTCAGTATGCTTTGGTTCGCCAACGACTGATGCTGCTGCCCCAATGGTTTCTCCCTCCTCAGCTGCTGCCACCTCCTTGCTGCCACTTCCACCAACCTCTACCGTAACGACTGCAACAGGAACTGCCTTGTCAGGAACCACTGGTTTAGCAGCGGCTGATGCTGCTACAGCTGTATCAGCTTCTACAAGCTCCAAAGGCGTCGCTGGATTCATGGCGGCTGTTACAAACGCATCTGGCGATGTAACGCGTACATGATCGCCAGTTACCGGAGCAACTGCGTCTGCAGTCCCTGGGGAAGCATCAGTGGCTGCAGGTTTGATCTGAGCAGAGTGAGTGGGAGCAGTGCTATTAGTATTAGCAGTCTGGGACTTCGCACGAGAAAACATGTTCTTAAGGGTAGTTTCGCGCAGCCGCGTGGAGCGCACAGGGCGCTGCTTCCCCGCACCGCTCATCGCGGGTAAGGTGGAATGCTTCGCGCGGATGAGTCGGCTTGTTGCAATGACAGGAGTATAATGAGTCCTGTTGTTGCAATGACAGGCAGAAAATGAATCAGCTAGTTAAAGTGACCTGCCCGCGGAGGAGCGAATGCCCTGGCGAAGTGGACACGCCACTGGGAGCCGAACCGAGTTAACGAAACACGACGAGCTATAATCGAAGCATTATACAGGTGCACGCGCATGCGCAAAGCTAGCTGATGGTTAGATAATCGATAAGATACTTCTTGGAGACACGAGAACTCCATCTGACTTCATCGAATCACCTTCGAGTGCACACAAGCATAGCTTGTGCATCAGGAAGCTCAAGGGATTGTCATGTCACTGGATGACAACGCTGCATAGACCAAACTTCCAGGATTGAGGTGAACAAACCAGCTAATGTCAGGTGTTCGTGGCGGGTTGTGGTTGAACGGGACGGGAGACGCCAGGGAATGGTGTCAGCAACAGAAGACTGTATCGACGCGATCCCTGGTGGTGAAGAGAGGTGCGTGTCGGTATTTTAACATCGTCAGCGTCCAACATGCTTCAGCTCGAAATTCAAACTTTTGAATTTTCCCTGTGGTGATTTGTTCGTAACACCGGAAAATCGCAAAAATATTTTCGCATAGAGCTTGTACTCGCTGTGCGGTGCTGCGATGTGGGATTTCGTCGGCAACACAACTCCACGACCACCACCATCCAGTCGGGGTTTTCGTTCGTCCACTGTGGTTCCTCACGGTAGAACTGCACACAGACGTAACTAATTTTGACCGTACCAAACCGTGGTAGGTGAACTCGAATTTCCAACTTTGCCAGATCTCCCCCTCACCTATCAGGAGGGCAGCAGGACACACCATATGTGAGATGTTTCGTCAGCGTCACGCTGAACCCGAGCTTGATCAGGCAATGGATGATTCATTTATTTGACCTAGGAGTGTCAGAGAATCAGCTAACGATTGTACGGCCTACAGTCCTTCGTTCACGCTTGAAGTCGGTGTTTCCGACATTGTTGCCTGACACATTTCGCGAGCCATGTCGGCGAGCTCACAGAAAGATCTAGGCGAGGACGAGACGGACGCCGTCTGTGACCCTGATGACGAGCAGATCTTCGAGTTTATTCAGCGGCTTCCTGGCGAGGCAAGCGCTGATGTCTATTGTTCCTGTTGTCGTCATTTCTCCTTTCAATCCGTGCATTGTAAGAACGCTTATCTTGGCGTATGTGTTAGGTCAGGCCATATCGGGGAGAGAAGAGCTCCTTAAAGCAATCCTCGCGTCGGTTAGCAGCAACAAGCGACCATCATCGCGTACTCAAGTTCTTCAAGGATTGCTGGTCCGTGCAAAGCTACATTCAAGTATTTTTTTCATTTAACGGTTGTCCATCTGCGACCTACTTAGTCTGATTATTGCTTTTAACAGGATTGTTGGCAATCACCTTCGGGTATTGAGGAGGGTGCAAATGAAACGGCGAAATTGTACGCGGATTTGATATGGAGGACTCTGTGTCTTCAGACGGCTTATCATGCTGCAGCCATGGAAAAACCTTCTGTTGATTTCATGCTCTGCTTCTGGCAACTAACCACCGAGGTCCGTAATGGTTTTTTGTCGTAACCAACGTTCTTCAGCAACAACTTACTGATGCATTCTGTTGTTTCAGGCTTGCAGGCATGTATCGTCTATCCTGGATGATCACTTTGATGGATTGGCTTCGAATCTTTTGAGCATTCAACATCTTACCGAACAGGTATTTTTTTGCTTGTTTGACCGTATGTCATACTTCGCTTGATTAATCTACGATGACACTAACATTGATCAATCTTCGTTTTCAGGCAATGAAGCTCATTGCCTTGTCTGCAGGAGCTCTTCTGAGTTTAATGGAATCTCAGCCTCTACTGCCTGTGAAAGAAATTGGCCAACTGATACAAGAATCATTCAAAATGATGTCTTCATCGTTTTTCTCCTCAAAGGTAGTCCCGTGGCTCTCAGTGATGCTGTATACTCCAATAAATAAATAAATAAATAAATAACGTTCTTTAAATGTTATGTCGTGTGTCTGCTTTTTCAGGCTTTCCCATCTCAGTGGCAGGAAGATTTCAAAAAACCCTTGATTGATGTGCTTGGCGCCTTTCACAACGTCAGTTCGTCTGCATTGAAACAGTTGGAGTCAGTTTCTCAGAGGATCAACAGCCGCTGGAATTCAGAGTCACCCAATGAAACTGATGAGGATACTGACATGGACCATCACAGCAAGGCGGTCATTGAAGACTTTAACCGCCTCGTGGCTCTTCTTTTTCGAAGCTTCGAAGCAGTTGGAACCGTTACAGCACGTATGGGCTCTCATTATGCGACTATCAACCTGGCCTGGAAGACAGTTGTATCTATTCTTGCAACTATGGCCCGGATTTTCCCTTCTCCACCGCCACGTTCGTTGCAGCAGCAGGCCCCTAAACATGAGAGTAACTACGACAGCGGACCTGGTGAAATAGATGAAGTGGATTTGCCACCATGGAGCCGTGAAGATGTTGTGCATGCAATCAGCATGCTGTTCCAGCATACGGCACGCGGTCTTGTCCTGGGAGCAGAGGCTGGAAGGCAGATGCTGGTCGAGCTCAATGCCAGGCTTGGGAAGCATCCACTTCGTGAAGAGGTCTGTGTTGGGGAGGTTGACAACAGGACAGACGGAGATGAGGCGTACAGAGTTGAGGTAGAGAAGCTTAGTAAGAACCTTCAGCGAGTTTTTATGCTGACGAAGTTCTTCCAGAATAACGCCATTCGTGTGGCACTTCTTTACCCAGCAGAGGCATGTGATCCAGCCGCTTCAGAAGACATGGCCGGCCTGCTGTTCGCCTATGCGGGTCTCCTTCATTACAGTGATGGAGATGGAAGATGTGCAGGAGGCAGTGTACAGAAGGGGAGCGGTTTGAAGTGGCCAGTTCCGTTTGCGGTTGCAGAAGCTATGGCGCAGATGCTGGGTCCTACAATGTTTGGGCTTGTTCACAACATTCTGAGTTCGGAAAAAGTTTCAGAGAGTACCAAGTCGATCCTTATCCTCCAGATTCTCGCAGCAGCTGGATCCAGAGAACCACCACAGACCAATATGATTTGGAGGGTGGTTTCATCTGCAGGCGTCAATGCCGAGGGTTCAACGAAGGGTGAGAGCTGTTATCAATCAGCACGAAACAATCTGATTGGTCTGGAGCAGCACAGCCCAGAAATGGCTGAGTGGCAGTCGTGTGGGAGGTTGGTGACTGCCACCACAGTCCTGGAAGGGGCTACTTCATACAGTGACCAAGTGCTGAGTGTGGTGACCAATAACCTGGGTCATTTAGTCAGTCTGGCTGCAGACCAGCATTCCTACGTCCCACTGCTCTCTCGAGTCATCTGGCCATTTCAAAACCAGCGGAGGGAGGGAATTGACAAGGGGGGGGCAGCGGCAGCAGGAAGGACAACGAGGCGGGTGGTCCTGTTTTCACAACTAACCCGTGGACTCAAGGTCCTTGTGGCTGTCATTGGTACCAGAGTTACCAGTTCGTGTGATCCCGCTTCCAGGGATGTGGAACAAAAGATTTTGGGGTCTTTGGCACTTTGGGAGGAGCTTGAAGCCTTTCTTTTTCAAAATGCAGTGCACCAGCATCCCATCTGTGCAGATCTTGCACGGGACACGTGGTGCTTCCTCATTCGACGTTCAGACTCTCAGCTTGCGAGAAGGCACGCAGAGCTGTTACTTCGGTCTGTTCAGGCCTCTGTGCAAACCGTCGTGAAGAATGAATCCAGGCCTCATGCCAAAGGTTTGAGTGGAAGCAGTGCTACAGGACTGCTGGGCATTGTGACTGGGCTGGAGGAACGGCTAGTCTGTGCAACGGTCGATGTCCTCATGGCATGCCCTGATACGACTGTATCTGATGTCTTCCTCAAGCCGTTTGTCCGGCACATCAACTCATCATTTTCAAAGTTTTCGGCTTCAGCAGGAACTGCCAGTGCAGTTTCACAACACAGCCGCACTGCAACTTCTTTCCCGCCCAAGTCTATCAGCCAGGAAATCGCTTATGTTCTAGCTTTCTCTCAACTTTTGGACCGTGGAATGGCAGCAGGGATTCACAGACGCCAGCCAGCTGCTCTCCTCCCAGTTGCGCGTGCATGCTTTGGTGCGGCACGTGCTGCAACGGCTAATATCATGGCAAATGCATCCCAGGGCGTTTCATGGGAGAAGGTGGCTTTGCTTGGAAGCATGCTGACGAGCATCACGGCTGTGCTCCGTGAGAGGTATTTATTATCAGCTATGAATGAAATTCTGTCCTTTTCTTCGCATGTTCACCATTTCCTCTTGTCCATGTTACTTGTTTATCACATTCTCCTTCATCATTGTACTTATGAATCCTTTACTTGATTTCAGGGTTGAATCTTCCATGAGTGGCACCACTGGGCTTCCTGCTGTCTTCCCGAACACGAAGGACCTGGTCAAGTTGGCTGCAGATGCCGCAACTCTGCATGTTCCAACTGATATGGTCAATGGCAGGCATGGTCAACTCACTGGCTCTGGAAGCAATCAGAACAGGGTCCCCTACTCAGATACCCCCATGATTGATTTGGACTGTGGTACCAAGGGGAAGCTGAACGGTGGAACACAGCAGCCATTGCTTGCAAGGGCTGCCCAGTTACTTGCTGCCGTGAGCAGAGCCTCAGATGGAATCAGTGTGACTGATGTGGAACCAGTCCTCCATGCCATGTTGCATGTGCTTCAACGAGTACATCCTCAAGATGGTGGATCTGTGGGGGAGCCATGGACCGGGGCAAGAATGCTGGTGGAGGAGGTGGCTGCTGCTTCTGCCATGCTGCTCTCACAACTCTTTGCAAGCCCTTGGACTCAGCAGGAGCTGATCCAAAAGCCAGTCGCTTTGGAGTTGCTTCACAATTTGCTCTCCTCTCACCATCTTCCAGCAGCTTACTCATCTCTCTCTACCCTGCATGCTGCAATTGCAGCCTGCCACTCAAGCACAGGCATGGATACCAGGAAGTACGCCTTCTTGAGGAAAGTCCTGCCGCAGTCTGGATCTGACACTGTGTTGGATGTTCTTATGAAGCCTGGGTGGACTCCTGAAGAAGCTGAGCAGGAATTGGGTTTAATTTTCCAGCACCTGCAGCATCAGCAGAAGCAGCAACAGCAGCAGCAACTCACTGAAAGCCGTGTTCTTGCTCTGCGGGTTGAGGCACAAAGGCTTCAGCTTGGAGGTAAAGGTTATGAAGGGAAGGTGTTGAATGGATCAGAGCCACCCTTGAAGGGCAACACCGTTTGCATTGACTTGGATGGTGCGGATGGCAACGGTGCATCAGACGTGCGAATGGAGACAAGACAGGATGCTGAGGTTGTTGCACTGCCAGAGAGGATGGCAGAAGCAAATGCCATCTTGGAAGCTGTTTTGGCCTGTGTGAGGTCCAAGCCTTCGTCACTCCATCATCATGCTCTATGGGGGGATTTGCGTTATCAAGTGGCAACGTCCAGTCGCCTGGTTAACGAGTTGAACAATCATGTGAATCATATTAGCAAGTCATGCTAGTCTAATTGCCCCTAATTGTTTTTTTTTCTGTCATCATTTTCCCACCCTAATCGTATTTAGTTCGTGATGCTTATTGTTAATAACGCGAAACCCATCTGAACGAAGTCTAACTTTTCCAGCTCACCCCAAGGTCCAAGGAGGTCAGCCTGCCACGCCCGCATAAAGGATCTTTCAGATGCGCAGAGGGTACCCCAAATTTCCGGGGCTGTCCCCACATCGGGATTTCCACGTGGATACACGCGGGAAGAGCGTGGCACTTCAAGTCTGCCAGGCTTCCGCAAAGTCCGACCAATCCCCAGTGCCGCTGACAACACCATGCTCCGCCTTCCCCCTTCCACCATGTATCTCTGGTTTCAATGCACCAGCCGAATCCATTCCCGCCAATCTTTGCGCACCCAGCTGACCCCTGGAATTTCCGCGCAAAACTGTACAGAACTGTACCATGCCAGGGAATTTCTCCCCTCGGGCTTACCTACCACCACACCTTTCATTTATGGAGCTTCACCACCACCATTCATTTTCATGACCATTTCCGTGTGCTAGTCTTTCTTGGTTTTCGTCAGCATAAGTGACTCTTAGCCGTTCTGTTAGAGCCACGCCGTAAATCCCTAGGCGGCTTTCGTGTCGCCTTGCGAGCCGTCCGGAAACCTAACCATTGCAAACCCCAGGGCTTGCTTACAGATTCACAACTATCCTGGTTTCAGATTGCGTGCTGGTGATCTGGAAGTGGCTGAAAGTGTGTCCTGAGTGAGTCGGAACAATGTTGCGGTTTCTTGGAAAGAAGGCTCTCGAGCACGGAGCGAAGCAGCGCTCGACCAGACCCTACTCCACTAACCATGGACGAGCCTGGAACCCGAGAATTCGGGGATGCTCCGCGCAAGTCGCGCCGGAAATGGCGGTAGTGGAACCGGGTCACTTGCTGAATTCGTCGCATGTTCGATCCATTGTTGCCTCGGGTGCATTCAGGAGGCTTATTAGCGGCTCCGCAGGTCGCCAGCAGGAGCAGGCTGCGAAAAGAAGCTCCGGCGGGTTTGAAGGGAGCATCTACCTCCATCACTCCGAGTACGCGCGTGTTATCCCATTCGTTTCTGTAGTATTGTCAAGATTGTGACCTTCGTGTTGACCCATCCACCTTCAACACTCGTATTCCATTTTCACCTCGCATCTGGACTCGGAGGCGACTTACTATATGCTGAATCCAATGTTATTCCGTTCCGCGTCGCATCCTGGCGACTGATTGGATATCATGCCTGCCTCGAGTATAATATCTATGCAAGCTCGTCAGCTGTCGGCAGTCCGAGGAAACAAGTGCAAGACATGCGTGCCAAATGCGGCATACTGAGCAAGCATGGGTCAACGAGAAAGCACAGGGACTGGGAGAATGAGAGCTTGCAGAAAGATTCTTCTATAGTTTTGCCTGAACTATGTCAGCACTAAAGCTTCAAAAGTTCTGATTCATTCGTCCTTAATCTGCTCTACGAATCCTTGAAGAGCTCAACTGTTTCTGTTTCTCATCCCTCGCCCCTCTCCCTCTCTCCTCTTCCGTTGAATGAATGTGGTGTGGGTATGCCAATATGACATTACCTTGGTACATTGATGTGTTTTGTGACCTGCCGTGTGTTGTGTGCTGTCTATGTCACCTCACATGATGTCTGCGACTCCTCACGTGATGCATACGACGCCTGGCGTGTGAACAACTGCCGAACGACGCTCTCTGGTGCACGCCAGCGTCGGGAGGCAGGTCAACTCCGCCGCTCTCAGCGTCGGCCTCATCCACGCATTGCAGGTGAGCCATGGCGCGAGATTATCACGTACGTTTGATGTTCATGCGTCAGTTTTCAGTCGACTCAAACGCCATGTTGACTCTGCTGCTCGCAGTGGCTTCCTCATGCACGCGCTGCAACTGAGCCTGGCGTGATGTCACCAGTGTAACTTTGAGTTGATTCAAATGCGTCTTTCAAGTCACCAGCCGATTTTCAACCTACTGAACAGACTCCGCACCGAGATAACCATTTGAGTCGTTCCAATTCAAGTTCATCCTCGCCTTGACACAATGCTATCTCTCAATGCTACCCCATTTCTCCCATCTCTACTCAAACCAGGTGCTGCACCCAGGAGTTGGTTATTTCCGCCCCTTCGACCAGACGTTGCACGGCGGTAACCGCGTGGACCTGATGACGAAAGCGTTTCACATCAACACGCCCCCAGAGGACATGTTCGCGCGTTAGAGAGTCGACTCAATCAACCCCCAACCCTGCCTTCATTCTTACCCAGGTGCTGCGCCCGGGAGTTGGTTATTTCCGGCCCATCGACCAGACGTCGCACGGTGGTAACCGCGTGGATCTGATGAAGAAGGTGTTTCACATCAACACGCCCCCAGAGGACATGTACGCGCTCACCCAGGACCAGGCCTACTCGCTGCTGGCGGCTGACAAGATCGACGATTTGCTGGAGGCGGTCATATCAGGTGGGTTCCAGTCATGTCTCTAAGTCTTTGGTAATGGGGCTGGGTCAGAATCCTCTTCACTTAAGATCTGCTTGCTTCCAGAGGACATGTTCGCGCTCACCCAGGACCAGGTGTACTCGCTGCTGGCGGCTGACAAGATCGACGACTTGCTAGAGTTTAACCCTCCGCCCTTCACCCCTCTCCACCCTTCCCGCTAGCCCCTCAAGAGCTCCCTAACTGCTTCCTAGCCTTGCCTCCCCCTTTCTGCTTCCCCCCCCTCTCCGCAATATTCTCCCCCCTCACGCGAACGCCCCTCCACCAGCGTATGAGCGCCACAAGAGGCACCACGACTTTGTGGTGGTGGAGGGCACGTCCATGCGGGATGGGTTGTGGACACTAACCCACACTCGAATCTCTCCTCTTATCCCCTGCTCTATCTCCCATCCACCAGCGTATGAGCGCCACAAGAGGCACCACGACTTTGTTGTGGTGGAGGGCACGTCCATGCGGGATGATTTGTTCTAACCTGCAAACTTACCCCTCCCTCCACCCTACCCTCAAATCTCTTCCCCTACCCCCTGCTCTATCCCCCCTCCACCAGCGTACGAGCGTCACAAGCGGCACCACGACTTTGTGGTGATAGAGGGCACGTCCATGCGGGATGGGTCCACACGGGATGGGTGGTGAAGCTCCCCCGTTCCCTATCTTACCTTCCCTCTCCCCACCTCTCTCCCCTCCACCAGCGTATGAGCGCCACAAGCGGCACCACGACTTTGTGGTGGTGGAGGGCACGTCCATGCGGGATGGGTCCAACACGTCGCCCATCAACGGGCTCATTGCGTCGGCCCTCGAGTCCCCTGCCCTGCTGCTCACTGATTGCATCGCCGCTTCGCACCACCACCCGAAGCACCATGAGGTATAACACCCACCTCCCCCCCCCGCACACACACACACACACACACACACACACACACACACACACACATCTCGAGTGACCTGCTATACTCCTCACTGACTGCATAGCCGCCTCCCACCACCACTCCAAGCACCACAAGGTAAGTTTGAGTCGACCCAACACGTCGCCCATCAACGGGCTCATTGCGTCCACCCTCGAGTGCCCCGCGCTGCTCCTCACTGACTGCATCGCCGCTTCGCACCACCACCCGAAGCACCACAAGGTAACACATGCATACACACACACACACACACACGCACACGCACCTGCTGGTGCTGCTAGGGACTTGATGCAAACCCGAACCCCCCTTCCTCCCTCTCCCCCTCCCCCTCGCCCTCCCCCTTCCCCGCCCCCTCCCCCTCCCCCTGTCCCCACCAGGCGGGGGGCCGGTTTGAGGCGTGGGACTTTGAGAAGGAGGCGGCGAGCTGCATCTTGGACCATGCGCGCATCATGAGGCAGAGCAGCGTCGACATCGCCGGCGCCCTGCTCTACCGCACGCCCAGGACGTCCAGAGGAACCACCCGCCTCAGGCAGTACATCACTGAAGCGGGGATTCCCTTCCTGGGCGCCCTCCCTGCCGACAAGTCTTTGGAGTCCTTCCAGGTGCGTCCTGTGCTGTGCTGCTCTCTAGCAGATGGGTGTGTCGTAGGCAAGGACCCAAGGCGCCCTGCTCTACCGCACGCCGAAGAAATCCCGGGGAACGACCAGGCTCAGGCAATACATTACTGAAGCTGGAATCCCGTTCCTGGGCGCTCTCCCTGCCGACAAATCCCTGGAGTCGTTTCAGGTACGTCCTGTGCTGTGCTGTGCTTCCCTGCTAGCAGCAGAGCAGCGTCGACATCGCCGGCGCCCTGCTCTACCGCACGCCCAGCGTGTTTTTTGAGAATTCTCAAAAAACACGCCCAGGACCTCCCGGGGCACCACCCGCCTCAGGCAGTACATTACCGAGGCTGGAATCCCCTTCCTGGGGGCGCTGCCTGCAGACAAGTCTCTTGAGTCCTTCCAGGTACGTCCTGTGCTGTGCTGCTCTGCTGGTTGCATGGCGTCGCACATACAAGGAGGGCCTCTTGTGCCATTCACCTCTCTGCCTGTCCCTCCCCTTCAGGTGGAGGACGTGATGAGGGTGCTGCACGCGCAGGTACTCTACAGGAAGGGCACCCGTTGTCGTTCCTCATTCCGCCGTTTTCCCTGTTGTCCTGCCCCTCTTTCCGCCCCTCTTTCCGCCTCTCTTTCCGCCTCTCTTTCTGCCTCCCTGCCTCCCGCTCTGCCTGTGTCTCTCAGGTGGAGGACGTGAGGAGGGTGCTGCACGCGCAGGTGCTCTACGGAGAGGACACCCCCCACGCGGCCAACAGCATGGCCACCGAGATCACCAAAACCATGGTGGCAACTCTGCACCTCGCTGAGATCCTCACGCTCATCCCGCCCTCCGACGACCCCGCTAGAGGCGCCCTCGTTATAGCGCACGCCAGCCGCCCGGATATCCTGCTCGGGATGATCGATCTGCATGAGACGCATCTGAGCACCCAGGTGGCGGCGATGGTGCTGACGGGAGGGGCGCCTCCTCCTGCTGAGGTGGACGAGCTGATTCGGGTGAGTGTGGGTTGACCTCGGTTGAGTCTGGTTGACTTGGGATGATCGATCTGCATGAGACGCAGCTGAGCACGCAGGTGGAGGCAATGGTGCTGACAGGGAAGGCTCCGCCTCCTGCTAAGGTTGACGAGCTGATCCGGGTGAGTGGCTTGACCCCGGTTTGACTCTGATCGACTTGGGTTGACTTGTAGCAGCAGCAGCACCAGCCCAGCAGGTGGGGTGGGGGATATCCTGCTGGGGATGATAGATCTGCATGAGACGCATCTGAGTACCCAGGTGGCGGCAATGGTACTCACTGGGGGTGCTCCGCCTCCTGCTGAGGTGGACAAGCTGATCCGGGTGAGTGAGGGTTGACCTGAGTTGACCTGGGCTGGCTGGTGTTGACTTGAAAAAGCAACAGTAGCCCAGCAGGTGAGGTTTTCTCCTCGGGATGATCGACCTGCATGAGACGCATATGAGCACACAGGTGGCGGCTATGGTGCTGACGGGGAGGGCGCCGCCCCCTGCTGAGGTGGACGAGCTGATCCGGGTGAGTGGCTTGACCGTGGTTGATTTGGGTTGACCTCGGTTTACTCTTTACTTGTTGCTTTACCGCTGTGTTTCCTCTCCTTCCCCTTCCTTCCTCTCCAGCAATATTTGTTTTAGATTCCTCAAATGCACCTGTTTTCCTTGTCATGTCCTGGCCTCTTCATTCCTCTCTCCTCCCGTCATCTCTCGTCCCCTTCACGCCTTTCCCCATCACCTCCTTTTTTTCCCATGCCACGCCTCCCCCTTCCCCAGACCCGCCCCACGCGAGTGTCCCTCCCAGTGCTGCTGGCCCCCAAGGCCACCTACGACACATGCCTGGAGCTCGCAAAGGCTGACTCGGAGTTGCACGCTACCTCCACCAGGAAGATTGAAAGGGCTGAGGTGAGAGCGGAGGGGGGTCTAGTTGAAGAGACGAGATGGCTGGGGCCGAGGGGTGCGGATGGGTTGCTGGTAAGGTGGAAGGGGTGGACAGCGGTGCTGCTGCTGGCCCCCAAGGCTATGTACGACACGTGCCTGGAGCTCGCTAAGGTTGACTCGGAACGGCATGCCGTTTGAGAATTGTCAAAAGTTCACCCGGAAGATCGAGAGGGTTGAGGTGCGAGCGTGGGGGGCCGAGAGGGGTGAAATATTCAGGACTTGGAGAACTCTCAAGACCCAATAGATTGCGTGTCCTCAAAGTGCTTGTCCTCTATCAAGTCCTCTTCAAGGAGCACTCCCCAATCCCTTTGCTGTTCTTTTGTTCGTTCCCTCTCTCCCCCCCCCTCTCTTCAGGTCATGTTTCACGAGCATGTGGACATGCGAGTACTCAACCAAGTCCTCTTCAAGGAGCGCCCTCTCCGCATGAACCCCAAGCTATTCCAACACGGCATCTTTGAGAAGGCTAGAGCCGCCCAGTCACACGTCGTGCTGCCAGAGGTACGCCTGCCACCCGCACCGCACTGCATGCCTAATATTGCCACCTGCACCCCATCGCACCGCTTTAGAAACCTCTCCGCATGAATGAACCCCAAGCTCTTCCAACACGGCATCTTTGAGAAGGCCAGAGCCGCTCAATCACACGTCGTGCTGCCAGAGGTATGAAAGTTACTGCCATTCTCACCGCATTGCACCCCTACTAACCACTTCTTATGAACCCCAAGCTCTTCCTGCACGGCATCTTTGAAAAGGCCAGAGCCGCCCAGTCGCACGTGGTGCTGCCAGAGGTATGCTTCTAACTGCCACCCCCACCTCACTGCACCAACCTCTCCGCACAGCATTTTTTAAAAGGCCAGAGCCGCCCTGCTAGAGATACAGCTATCACTCATCACCCCAGCACCATGTGCATGTGAACCACACTGCAAGCACCATCCCGTCCCACCCGCCAAGGAGCAGAGCCATGCAGGGTGCAGGCAGCAGGGGAGGTACTCCGCAGGTCGCCCTGCCAATTCCCTCCCTCCTGCCTTTCCGCCTTACTCTTTCTCCCCGCTCTTTATTTCCCATCCCACCCACCAGGGAGCAGAGCCGCGCACGGTGCAGGCAGCAGGGGAGGTTCTCAGGCGGTCCCTCTGCCAGCTCACGCTCGTGGGCAAGCCGGACCTCATCCTCACCCAGGCCAAGCCAATTCCCACCTTTTCCCACTGCACAATATCCCCCATGCCACAGGGCGCAGAGCCACGCACGGTGCAGGCAGCAGGAGAGGTGCTTCGGCGTTCCCTCTGCCAACTGACGCTCGTGGGCAAGCCGGATCTCATCCTCACCCAGGCCAAGCAGCTCCGTGTGGACCTCACTGAAGCTACCCCTCTCTTCTCCCTTCCGCCCCCCTCTCCCTACCTCCCTCCCTCCCTCCCTCCCTCCCTCCCTCCCTCCCTCCCTCCCTCCCTCCCTCCCTCCCTCCCTCCCTCTCTTTCGTCTCCTTTCCCCTTTTTGTCCCCCTTGTTTTCCTCCCTCCTCTTTCCGCCAGGGTGCAGAGCCGCGCACGGTGCAGGCAGCAGGTGAGGTGCTCAGGCGTTCCTTGTGCCAGCTGACTCTGGTCGGCAAGCCAGACCTCATCCTCACCCAGGCCAAGCAGCTTCGGGTGGACCTCACCGGAGCTAACATCGTCAACCCAGCCTCGGCGCCGAACCTGGAGACCTACGTGGATATTCTCTATGAGGCTCGGAAGTCCAAAGTGAGTAACAGAGGTGGGGAGAAGGGAAGGGGAGGAGAAGGGAAGGGGGGAAGGGGGGGAAAAGGGGGGACGGAAAAAGGGGGAGAAGGGAAGGGAGTGAGGGGGGGAAAGGGTGGAGAAGGGAAAAGGGGGACTTTAGGCAGGTACCTCGGATTTGCCTGCCTGTCAGGCAGGTTCTGAGTCTACAAAAAGGTATGACCATCACACTGCAACACCTGCATGAACATTCTCAATGGGTTCCTATTGAGGCACCTTAAAATACAATCACTACGACAGCCACATGAACTTTCTGTATGAATTCCCCTGGCCCCCTTCCTCCCACCTTCCCCATCCCTCCCCACTCCCTCCCAAAAGAACCACCACCACCACCCACTCACTCCTCACTCCTTTCCCTCACTCCTTTCCCTCACTACTTTCCCTCACTCCTTTCCCTCATTCCTTTCCCTCACTCCTTTCCCTCACTCCTTTCCCTCACTAATTTCCCTCACTCTTTTCCCTCACTACTTTCCCTCATTCCTTTCCCTCACTACTTTCCCTCACTCCTTTCCCTCACTACTTTCCCTCACTCCTTTCCCTCACTACTTTCCCTCACTCCTTTCCCTCACTACTTTCCCTCACTACTTTCCCTCCCTCCTTTCCCTCACTACTTTCCCTCACTCCTTTCCCTCAATCCTCCCAACTCCTCGCAACTCCTCTCCATACCTCTTCAGGGCATGACCCGTGCAGAGGCACAGGAGGTGCTGGTGACGGACGCCAACTACTTTGGCACGGCCATGGTGGCAGCAGGTGGTGGTGGTGTCGTTCCCAACTCCTCCCCATCCCTCTTCACCCCTCTCCTCCCCTCTGTTCAGGGCATGACCCGTGCAGAGGCACAGGAGGTGCTGATCACGGACGCCAACTACTTTGGCACAGCCATGGTGGCAGCAGGGGATGGTGGACTGTGGTGCCGTGCCCCCTCCCAACTCCTCCCAACTCCTCCCCACTCCTCCCAACTCCTCACTCTTTCCCACTCCTCCCTCCCCACACCCTCTTCAGGGCATGACCCGAGCAGAGGCGCAGGAGGTGCTGATCACGGACGCCAACTACTTTGGGACAGCCATGGTGGCAGCAGGGGACGCCGATGGCATGGTGCTTGCAGGGCATAATAGCAAGGCCAAACCCTTCCGTTCCGCCTTCCAACTCCTCCCAACTCCTCCACAAACTCCTCCAGGGCATGACCCGAGCAGAGGCACAGGAGGTGCTGATCACGGACGCCAATTACTTTGGCACAGCCATGGTGGCAGCAGGGGACGCCGATGGCATGGTGTCAGGGGCCATTCACACCACCGCCAACACCGTTCGACCTGCCCTGCAGATCATCAAGGTAGGGTGTGGGTGTGAGTGAGTGAGTGAGTGAGTGAGTTGAGTGAGTGTGTGGGTGGGTGTCTGAATGTGCGTGTGAGTTTGTGGGTTGATTGCAAGCCTGTGTGTGTGTGAGTGAGTGGGTGGGGTTTGGGTGCACAGCCATGGTGGCAGCAGGGGACGCCAATGGCATGGTGTCGGGGGCTATTCACACCACTGCCAATACTGTGCGGCCCGCCCTGCGAATTATTAAGGTGAGATGTGGGGGGGTGGGGTAGATGTTGGAATGTGCGTGTGAGCCTGTGGGTGGGAGTGCAGGCCAGTGGGTGCGAGTGAGTGGGTGGGGTGTGGGGGCACAGCCATGGAATGGTGTCAGGTGCTATTCACTGTCAACACTGTTCGACCTGCGCTGCAGATCATCAAGGTGAGCCAAGTCTGTTGACTTTTGAGTCGACTCAAAAGGTGAGCCAAGTCTGTTGACTTTTGAGTCGACTCAAAAGGTGAGCCAAGTCTGTGTGTGTGTGAGTGAGTCGGTGGGGTGTGGGGGCAAGCCATGGTGGCAGCAGGGAACGCCAGTGGCATGGTGTCAGGGGCCATTCACACCACCGCCAACACTGTCCGACCCGCTCTGCAGATCATCAAGGTGAGTTGTGCATGTGCGTGAGTGCAGGCCGCTGGGGTGCGCGAAAGTGGGGTGACCAACACTGTGCGACCTGCTCTGCAGATCATCAAGATTAGCAATGTGTGGCTTTGTGCATGGGGTTCTGGATGTACGTGTGTGAGTCTGTGCATGTGAGTGGGTGGAGTCTGAGTGGTTTGGGTCTGAGTGCGTGCATGTACGTGTTTGTGCCATCAACACCACTCCCCACTTCCTTCCCTCCCCTCCGCCTTACACCCCAGTTTTGCTGCCTTTGCCGCCCATTCGTGGCCCCTGTGCGCCCGTCCCCTCCTTGTTTTCCTTGTCTGCTTGTCCCTTTCTTTTCCCCCTCTCTGCCCTTCCATCCCTCTCCCTCACAGACCCTCCCAGAGACCCCCATCGTCTCATCTGTCTTCTTCATGTGTCTGCCCGACAAGGTTCTTTGTGTCACATCCCGACCGGGGATTGCGCCACCAACACCAGTCCCCCCTTTCCCCCCGTCCCTTCCACCTTACATCCCGATTCTCCTGCGTTTGCCCACCCATCTCAGCCCCCCTGTCTGCCCGTCCCTTCCTTCTCCTCCCTGTCTACCCTTCTCCTCTTTTCCCCCTGTTTGCCTCCCCCTCTCTCTGTCACAGACCCTCCCAGAGACCCCCATCGTCTCATCTGTCTTCTTCATGTGTCTGCCCGACAAGGTCCTCGTGTACGGTGATTGCGCCATCAACAAAATCTCCCCTACCCCCACTGTGGATACCGTTTTCTCCCTTCTTTCAACCATTCCCCTCCCCCATTCCTCCCCCTTTTTCCGCTCCCCCATTCCTCCCCCTTTTTCCGCCCCTTTCCCCCTCCCCGTCTCCCCCCTTCTCTTCCACCCGCCAACCGCCCCCCCCCCCGGCCCTGCTGTCTCCCCCACAGACCCTCCCAGAGACCCCCATCGTTTCATCAGTGTTCTTCATGTGTCTGCCCGACAAGGTTCTCGTGTACGGTGATTGCGCCATCAACACCAATCCGACGGCTGAGGAGCTTGCGATGATCGCCATGTCATCCGCTGACACGGCGGCAGCCTTTGGCGTGGAGCCACGTGTGGCTCTGCTGTCGTACGCCACTGGGGATTCCAACACAGGTGGGATGATGGGGTGGTGGGGTGGTCGGGTGGGATGGTGGGATAGCAGTTCATTAGAAAAAAGTTAGCTCGTAGCCATTTCATAGCAAACCAGGTGCACTGACTGCAGCCTTTGGCGTGGAGCCCACCCACGTGTCGCTCTGCTGTCGTATGCCACTGGGTACTCCAGCACAGGTGGGATGGTGGAATAGAGAGGTTCATAAGAAGTGTTATCTCCTAGCCATATCATAGCGAACCAGGCGCACGGAGTGCAGCCTTTGCTGTGTCGCTCTGCTGTCGTATGCCACTGACTGGGGACTCCAGCACAGGTGGGTGGGACCGTGGGGGATCAAAGCATTCATTCCTAAACTAGCCTCTGTGCTCTCACTGCTTGATGCGTCTCTTCTTCTCTAACCCTCTGCTCCTCTCCTCTACCATTCTGTCTCCTCGCTCCCCAAGGCCAGCTGATTCAGAAGGTGTCAGGTGCAACAGCCGTCGTGCATGAGCGCTGGAGGCCTGACCTGACCTCATGGTGGAGGGTGGTTGACGTGTCCTGATCACAGACTGTGATGCACCACCCTACCCTCCCCTCCCTCTGCAGGCCCGCTGATTCAGAAGGTGGCGGACGCAACAGCAATCGTGCATGAGCGCCGGCCAGACCTCATGGTGGAGAGGCCGTTGATGCTTGACGAGGGGTGGTTGATGTGTCTTGATCACCGACTGTGATGCACCACCCTACCGTCCCCCAAATCGCGGATGCAACAGCCATAGTCCATGAGCGCCGGCCAGACCTCATGGTGGAGGGGCGGGAAGGAGGACTGCAGTATGATGCCCTGATTCATTGGTTTCCTTTGCTCTCCTTTCCTCTCCTCTCCTGTCCCGGTCCTCTCACTCGCAGGTCCGCTGATTCAGAAGGTGGCGGATGCTACAGCCATCGTGCATGAGCGCCGGCCAGACCTCATGGTGGAGGGGCCGCTGCAGTACGACGCTGCTGTGAACATGGAGACAGCCAAGACGAAGCTCAAGGGACGGACGAGTGAAGTGGCAGGGCAGGTGAGTCGTTAATAAGGTGAAAGGGAGGGTGCCAGGCAGGTGAGGAAATGGGTGGGATTCGGTAGATGGAGGGGTGGAGGCCAGAGCTCATGGTGGAGGGGCCGCTGCAGTACGATGCTGCTGTGAACATGGAGACAGCCAAGGCGAAGCTCAAGGGGAAGACCTCTGAAGTCGCAGGGCAGGTGGGTGCAGTGCGGTGGAGTGAGGTGAGGTGGAAATGGGTAATGCAGGGGTGTAGCGCAGCGCAGGCCAGAACTCATGGTGGAGGGGCCGCTGCAGTACGATGCTGCTGTGAACATGGAGACAGCCAAGACGAAGCTCAAGGGGAAGACCTCTGAAGTGGCAGGGCAGGTGAGCGAGTGGGTTTAGCGCGGTGGAGATGAAAATGGAGGGATATTGGGCCCGTTGCATTCAGTACCCAGTGCTGCTGTTAACATGGAAACAGCCAAGACGAAGCTCAATGGGAGGACGTCTGAAGTCGCAGGGCAGGTGGGTGCAGTGCGGTGGAGTGTGGTGGATATGGGAAGTTAAGGGGTGTAGCGCAGCACAGGGCAGACCTCGTGGTTCATGGTGGAGGGGCCGCTGCAGTACCCAGTGCTCATGGCAGGGCAGGTAATCGCATGGGTGGAGTGCGGTGGAGGTGGGCAGGCCAGAGCTCATGGTGGAGGGGCCGCTGCAGTACGATGCTGCTGTGAACATGGAGACAGCCAATACGAAGCTCAAGGGGAAGACGTCTGAAGTGGCAGGACAGGTGGGTGCAGTGCGATGGAGTGCGGTGTAGTGTGGTGGATATGGGAACCGGAGGGGTGGAGCGCAGTGCAGGCCTCACCTCATGGTGAACATGAAGACAGCCAAGACGAAGCTCAAGGGGAAGACGTTTGAAGTCGCAGGGCAGGTGGGTGCAAGGAGTTTCTTGCTGCGGGAGTTTCTAGTTACGAGTATGTCTGGACTTCGATCCCCTCATTCCCTCTCTCTCCCTTCCCTCATTCCCTCCCGGTCCCTCCTTTCCCTCACACCTCCCCTGCACCTCCAGCCTGAGTGCCCATTTGCCCTCATCTTAACCCTCCACTCACTCTTTGTCTCTCCTTTCCCCCATCCACCCCTATTAATCTTCCTTACCCCTTTCCCTGCCTCAATCCCGCCGCTTCCTCTCCAGGTATCGGTGCTCATTTTCCCGGATCCTCAACACCCGGCGACAACACGTACAAGGCAGTGCATGGGAGGCTGTTCCCCCATCCCCCCCTCTTAATCTC